TAGTGATCAATGTCTAGAAGATGAATATCATTGTTTGCTCGAATGTACTGTTTATGAAACTTTAAGAAAAAAATATATCAAACCATATTATTATTTCAGATCTCCAAATATGTACAAGCTTACTCAGTTAGTCAGCTCTCATGATGTAAGTGTTTTACATGTAATTGGTTTAGGAAAATTTATTCTCCAATGATGCAATGGAACTAAGAAATAATGAATAATTTAATTTACATGCATACATGTATTATGTGCTATAGTTATTTTTCAATAATAATGGAGAATGTGAATGAATTGTGCATTTGTTGGTGTATGGGAGTCAGACAGATGGACACCAGGGGTTCCACGCCCCGCAGACTCTCGCCATTCGTTCTTCATATTTAATTTTGTTATACTGATGAGCCGTATGGTTTCAAGTTATTCAATAAAGAATTATATATTTTAAATTATCTCCCAATTATTCCTACAGAAATTATTTTTATTAAAAAAATAACTAGACTGTCAGGCAGTGATACTGAAATCTCGAAAGACTTTCTGTAGCTACATAATCATAAAACAGTCATATTCCTCAAAATGTACATTTTTTTTTTTGTGGTCGGAGTGAGACATTAAATTTAAAATAATCTTAAAGTTGGATTTGGCAGAAATGTCTGTCTTCCAAGATTATTTAGATAACTGCCGTCAATTATTTCTGCCCCCCCCCCCCCCCCGCTAAAAAATACACATGCCTAAATGTTAATCTAAACAGGGAATGGCCTTTCTCCGACTGTGTGTTAAAGAACGTTCAGATGTACACATAAAATTTGTATTCTGCTTAAATGTTTTAAAGTCTTGATCTAAATAAATACCATATATCAAATATTACTTGGTTTAGATTTGAGATTAGTGAATAGTGCTAAAATAATCAGTTATAATTGACAAATGAATTTTGAGATGCAAAACAACCGCATACTACATATAGAATGTTTATTAGAACTAGATAGACAATTTTCAGTCATACCTTATGAGCAGTAGTTAAAAACTTTAGTTACAACCACCACCCCCCCCCCCTTTCATCCACGCAAATACCAAATAACTTCTCTTTCCACTTGCGATATTTTCCCTGACTAAAATCTGATCAGCACGGACTAAGTGTATCGACGCGCTAGACTGTACGGAGTAGTGACAGTGTGTTTACTATGGAATTTATTTCTTTTTTGTGATGCATATTTCAATAAATGGAACTCAGGGTGTATATCACTTGACTTGTGCACATCTTCGAACCGATGCAGTTATCTTATTAAAAGGTATGGGTATGTTTAGTGTTCGACGCGTTTTCCCGACATGCATAAACTGCATAAGACATGCAAATCAAAGACGCCGTTTGTATTGTTCCATTCAAATGATAATAATTTCAAATTGTGTTTACGGGTTTTACTGCTTTTTATTTCAAGTTTATTCTGCATAAATTTGCGCACTGTAAAAATACGTACTCGTGCAAGTAAATTTTTCTTCCAAACTTGCATTTTCTCTCTTTTTCTCTTTCGCATTTGGTTCAAAATAAAACTTCAAATCAATAATTTTTCAGAAGTATTATTATTATTATGTTTTTTGTGGTTTTGAAATGCCTTGATCAACTCATGTATTCTCAAATTCTTGACCATCGGAGATGTGCACAAGTCGATAGCCAAGCCAAAAAATCATTCAAGCGTAACGAGCGCATTTGGGTACATATCGTTACGAAGCACCCCTGCTAATGTGTTCGGAACCTTTTATTTTTCGGTGTTCTGCAAATTATAATACCCGATGAGTTCAGAGCAGCTCTGGCAGTAGGCTCTGGCGAGAGTTAGCGAGACTACAGTGAGATAGGGTAAATTATTCACGGAAATGTGGCTAGGAAGTGACTAACACGTGGAGACATGGTAAACAGAAAAGTTATGTTGCGTTTTAGATTTCACCACCCTATAATATCATTCTCTAGAAATGAACTTCAATTGATCTCTCTTGAATTCATTAAAATTTAATTTATAAGTATTCTCTATGATACAATTATCTGCTGTAATGAAATAAAAAATTTCTTTTTGGACAAATATTTTGCATGGAAACCGGGACTATATTTTGTGGCGTCAGATTAGCAAAGGAGGCACCAATGTGACTTTAGCTGACAAATCAGCTGAATGAGAACTGCATTGTAGGTTACTACGAATAATCCAGGAATTTTACGGTTTATAAATTCCTTTATTCTACTATCGGTGAATACAATTGTCAGGTGGATTCCCTGGCCAGCACACGTGATCACGAGTGAAGTCATGTAAAAATTTTGTCCATTTAAATGCATACGAGAAGCTGCTCATCTTCCGTACCCTTGAAGTGCTGGTGTTCTGAACTTGACACTAACTAGTATACATTTTACTAATATTTCTTTTTCTAGTTTACAACAAATTAAAATATCTTTCATAGTTTCGAATGTTTGCATTTTGTTCATACGAACATTTTTTCTTATTTTGCACTCCATTGACATGATCATACAATATTCAATCAACAATAAAAATTATTGGTCAGTTGCTAGTGGTAAGATCCTCTGTGCGCATTGATAGCAATAGCCATATAAGGAAAAAAAAATTGTCAGTGTAGATGATATTATAAATTTTTACCAGCGTATCGGTCGCTAGCGAGCTGTAATTTTTGCAGTAAAATACGGTTAGATATTTTAATTGTTACCGTATTTAACCCCCCCCCCTTTTAGCCACCCATTTCTGTTGAAAATCATGAAAGTCTTTCAGGAAGGTCTGGAAACACATTTTTCACAGGACATGTTTTCAAAAGAAACAAACTGTAACAATTCCCTGTTTACTGCCAATTTTATTTATAAAACCGGTTCTACCTTATCGCCTTCGAATAGGTAAAGCTAACCCACGTGTCTTGAATTTAAATCACAATAACATTAGTAGGGGTGTTTAAGAAATATGGTGGCAGAGGATAGTTTTTTTTGCAATCAAAACGTTTGACTGACGGTTTACTTAATATTGAGCTGCTTTTAAAATGTGCATTGGAAAATTTTTAAATTCCCTCTACATGTAATTATAGTATGATGTAGTCCCTTGAGAAATTTGAAGATTTTAGGAATAAAACATGTACAATTTACACAATGAGCCCTAAAGATGGCGCAGGGATAATCTCAAAATTTCATGTGAATCAAGCCTATTTTCACTATTTCGCCGCAGCCGCATCTGCTTCCAGGCCCGTGCTGATGACCTAAGCTACCACACAAATTGCAGAATAACATTTGTACATACCAATGAACAGCAAGAGATATGGGCTCAACCACCTCGTTTTCAAGCTACAATTCATCCTGTGAACCCACCCCGCTTTTCTGGTGAAATACCGGTAGAGCGAGTTTTGAGCTTAGTTTCGTATTTCTAGTCCATATCCCCTATACAGTAGTAGTGACACTCAAGTGTCATATTTCAATAAAATATACAAGGCCACCAATTCCCTCCAAATGCACCCATAAAATATTCTAGCTATAAAATTACCTATAATATGCATTCAAACCTCAGGTTTCTCTATTTTTTGACCGGTACTTTTTAACTTTCAAAGTTTGTCTTGCAAGTAATAAACCTTGCTCAATTCAAAAAGAAACAATTCTGATCCTCTGCCACCTATGTTTCTTACACATAAAACAAATGCAATTCTTACAACTCCAGGAATATACGTGTTACTATAATTTGGTATGAAACAAGTTCCATTTTATCTCTTTTTCACTTGGTTTTATATACCTATAACTTCTTTGCAAAGTTAAAACCCCTTTCAACTTTCAAGATAGATGAAAAAACATGTTGCGTTTTTCTGTTTGTCCTAGATGAATTCTTTCTAAGAATTCATGTCAGCTCATTCAAAGAAAAATTAAGTTGTCAACCATCCTTTGGCAAAAAAATAATTCATACATTTTGCTGACTGATTTTTATTTTCAAAATAATTATATTTAGTAAATTAGGTTGAAAAAATGGCAAATTTATGTAATTTCAGTGATATCGCACTAATTATTACACTTAAATTTTAATTATATTTAATTAATTAAAGCAAGACATGATTTTAATTATGCAACAACACCCAAAGTTTCAATTAATTTATTCTCAGGCAAAAATATCTTTGCTGGAAATGAGTAACTCCCCTTGCTTTTTAGTGAATATACAAATAACAGAAATAAAGGAACTCTTCTTTTAAAGGAGGTCAAGTTTTTACCTTGATACATAAAAACCCATCATCCATCACCATTCTCCAAACAAGAGACCCATTGGCCAGATTGTTGCAGAATAACATTTGTACCAATGAACAAACTTTGGCCATGTTGTTACCACAGATTTCCCCATATCCCCTATACAGTAGTATAAGTGTCATATTTCAATAAAATATACTGATTATGCCCTATAATATGCATTCAAAACTCTACTCCCAGGGGTCATGATTTGAACAATTTAGAATCTACACTACTCCAAGATGCTTTCACGTAAGTTTTAGCTTTTCTAGACCAATGGTTCTTGAGAAGATTTTCAAAGATTTTTCCTAAATATTTCAATGTAAAACTTGGATTCCCTAAAGTAGCCCTGCCCCACCCCTGTGGCTCATGATTTTAAATATTAGAATGTACACTACCCCAGGATGCTTCCATATAAGTCTCCGCTTTTTTGGCTCAGTGGTTCTTGAAAAGATTTTTTAATGACCCCACCATATTTTCCTCTTTTCATGATTATCTCCTATTCCAAGGGGACTTGGCCCTTCATTTAAAAAATTTTAACTCCCCTTTACCCAAGGACGCTTTGTACCAAGTTTGGTAAAAATTGGAACTGTGGTTTTTGAGAAATGTGAAAAGTTAACATACAGAGGGACAGCTAGACAGACAGATGGATGGAAGGACAAACAGACAGAAGGATGAACTAGGACAACAGGAGATCAGAAAAGCTCACTTGAGCTTTCAGTTCAGGTGAGCTAAAATCTCTTTTAGTTGCCATCATAAAACAAGATATTTTATTGGTAATTTTATTAAATGCTTCCATATAGCAAAGCTTTCACCATAATTTTAATAATATATTTTGATAGCTAGCTATAAGCATATGACTAAACTGCTATTGCCAATGTTCAGAGGTTTTGTTTATCATTTTAGAAGAATTAATTTTTTGTTACAAGTTGTCTTAGGAGATATCTCCATTTCAAATTGCTGGTGCATTACATATTTGTTATAAGGCTAAATTCCAATCACAGCTATGTAAAAAATATATCAAATACAAAGGAAATTATGGATGAAAAATATCCATGTTTTATATATATATATATCACATTGTTATATAAGAAGCCACAATGGAATTTGTCAAGCATATGATAAACTGGAAAAGATTGACATAAATGACAAAAAAAAATTTGTTCATGACACATACACTATAACTAATTATAAACACGTCCATGACTAACATTTGGTCCTTGCAAGTTCATTTGTTTGTGATAAAAAATGAGAAAACATTGACATTATCTTACTGGCTTTCAGCACTTGAGATTACACAACGGCACATCATGATAGCACTAAGACATACATAAGCTGACATAAGAGTGTTTGTGAAAAATGACGCTTCTACAGTTATGTTTTGCCAAGCCTATGAATTTTTAATAGAGAATAAAATGTCCTTTTAAAATATAACTGATTTAATAAAAAAGCCAAAAAAAAAAAAAAGGAAAAAAATGTTCCCATATTCAACATATATAATTCAGCATTACTGGGCAACAAATTAATATCTTAATGAATAAAGAGATTATACACAGCTACTACACATTAACATAGAAACAATGATTCCTTACATGGGGTAGAGAGAAAGGTATTGTTAATACAGAGAGGAAGACTCCTTTGATACAATAGTTTATATGAGAAGACTAAGCCTCCGAGTTTTCTGGATTCTCGTCCGCACTGACCTCCTCCTCTCCCAGCTCCGTCCTCATTGATGACAGCATGGAACGTGTTGGCCGCGCAGTGGCACTAGGTCTGTAAAACAGCAGTCAAAACAATCAGTACTGGCCCACAAGTAACTTCATATTGGTGCCACAAAATGAAAATGATGTGTATTGCTTAGTGCTAATTAGTGTTTATCACAGGTCTAAACAATTTCTCTACATAGAAGTTTAGAACTGACAATTTGTCAATTTGCTTCATTTAATTTTTTGATGAAGAAAATAATTTGGCAATATAATTTTGGTCTTTTTTAAAGTCCTTTTGTAAAACATATACCACGCTCTGACAAAGATAGAATGTCTATTTATATGAAATACATTTACTACTAAAGTTAAGATGTTTACAGATATTTGTTTAAATTGTTTTTATTTAACAACAATAATAAAGCATGCTTGTTACTAAAAATATCAAAACCTTATTGAAATCGCACCTTTTATTCTGAGGGAGAACAGTTCAATGATTTTATGCTTTAATAATAGGGAGGATTTTTTTTTTATTTAATACTGTTAAATTTTCAATCTTTAAGAGGAAAAACACATTCTTATAAAGTAAGTATAGTCTTTTAGTAGCAGTTTTTAGCTACTAACTTTGATACCATTTTGAGAAATTGTCAAGACCTGTTTTTCTGTTATATTAACTTTGCAGTTCACACACTCTGAGACTTTTAAAAGGCAAACCTTCAGGGAAATGTATTTAGCAAATGAAATCCTTATTTGTCTGAATATCAAATGTTATCTTAATGTCAATTTTTATTTTGTTCCTGTGGATGCAATCGAATAAGATTATCCATTTAAATATTTTTTTTTTTTTTTTTAAATAAATGTTCTGTTGATATTTGATTTATACTTTCAGCCAGAAAAGGTTCATGCATCAAATTTTTAAAGGAGATAAGAGGAGCAGAATTGTTAATATTTTTTTTACATCTACGATTTTCAGTCTCCTTATCAGTGAAGTATAAAAGTTATGCATGGCAAATTGTTATCTCAACATCTGAGAAAGATTCATGCAAAAGCTGACCTTCTCTTTGTAAACCTGAGGACATTAAGCCAATAAATTAGTAACCAGAGTATGATGTAGAGTAATAAATATGTCTTACTAAGCATCTCTGAAAAAGATAATAAAACTGACATAGACTAATATTGAAGATACTTCTTGGTGAACCAATATATAAGGCTACAGTGTGGTACTAAAGAAATGGAGAAGGGGGCTGCCTTGTACAGTGGAAGCATGCTGTCCCTGTCTTACTTACCAGTCAGAATCAGTCGGCTGATGTTGGTAACTACTAATAAAATTACACAACAGATCATGCAGAATATCTACCACACCGTAACCTGACTTGTAAACGGCCATTGACTTAGATGTAAAAAGATCTTTTCATTTGATCTATAAAAGCACAACTTACAAAAATTGAATAGCTTAAAAAACAATGTTTGATCCCTATTTATTGTGAACACCCTTTTCCCTTAAATTTTAATAAAATCTTTTAGTTTTATACATGTACTTATGTTTGGTTTGAATTTAATTTTCAAAAAAAAACTTTAACCTGGTCACTTATCCAGAAAATGTAAGTCAAATCCAGCATCTGAAGCATATCGACTGGTATGTATCCTTGTACATCATCTATGCAAGTCTGGTTAATATAAGGTTTACAATTTCTTGGAAACGAGACCAGCTCTAAAACATGAACCTGGTTATTTATGGCTGAAAATGCAGCATCTGAAGCCTAATCAATACACCGCTGAACAGCTAGTATAGGGAATAGAAAAAATGGACTCCAAACCTAGTAGGATGACTTGTATAAGCCCCCACCCCTAAAACCTCAATCACGTGAGCATGAAGTAATACGCACTATTCTCATAGGTGCTCCATGTTCCACCAATGAAAAAATTATTTCTAAAATCTGTGACACTGACCATACCCTTACATTTCAAGCAAACAATCTATCTTACATATGCTTCCATAATATAATTGACCATTGCCCTGCTGTTCTTGAGAACATCTTTATAGATTTCTTCTCATATTTCTATGGATCTTCTGTATCTGAATCCTACCACTTGGACCCATGATTTTGACAAACTTGAATCTTTACTATGTCAAAAAGCTTTTTTTTCTTATTATTTTTGCCTCATTTTGATTATCTACCCTTGGTTGGAAGGCGACACAGCACTTCATTTGAACAAGCTTGAATTTCCTTCACCCAAGGACACTTTGTGGCAAGTTTGATTGGTAGTAGCCCAGTGGTTCTTGAGAAGTCATTGAAAATGTGGAAAGTTAACACAGACAAAAGGCAAAAGACAAAAAAAGATAGCAAAATGTAGTAATACTGTAGTGACAAAGGTGACCTCAAGTGGGAATCTACTTTTTCACTTATCCAATCTGAAAGCTTCAGTGAAAATATTGACTTTCACTGACTTCTGTGTAATGTCTAAATCAAAGAAAAATATTGCACACTTTATTCACTTTGGAGCTCTCTTTTGTTCAGCAATCCTAATACATTGTTAGACAGATTCAAATAAATTATATTAAATTCAAAATATATATATATTTAAAGTGAAACTGTGAGTTAATTCACTCCCTTCCCTGTCAATTACATGGTGCCACATCTAGAATGTATAACATCTTACCAAAGCCTCTATACAATGGGTACTCAGGTTTGGGGGACTTTGTTTCTATACAAAAGATTTATCATCATGTCATAACAGCATACAAATGGAGTTACCCATATATTTTCCTGGATGGAATGTTTCAAGTACCAAGACTACGCGAAATCAATGCTCTATTTTCAATCTATATATTGTGTATCTTTCTTTTTTAAAATCCAGAAACATTGTTCTTATCCTTGTTTTCTAGAAAAAATAGCCTACAGGACCCACTGAGACATGCCTACTGTTGTGATTTAGTTCCAGTGACTTAAGGTTGTATGAATGTCAAGTGACTGATCCTAATTACTGTCACCCAGCCACCAAACAGTAGGAACACAGGATTACCTGTATTTCTTTAAGGAAGAGATCTCCCTGGACGCTGACTCATTCTGTTCCATTTGCTCATCCAGATCTCGCTGTAGTTTCCTTTTCTGTGCATTCACTCGAGTGATTTCCTCTTCTGCTTCATCTATCTGTCTCTTCAAAGCCTTAACACGATTGTTCATCTTTTCAACCTAAAATATATTTATACAATTTAAGTAAATAATAGTAGCAGACAAACTAGGAATTTATGAGATGTTCTTTTTTGTAGTTCAAAAGAAAACAGAGCAAATAAGATAGGAACTCTATTCATAAATATCTTCACTGACATGTATATCTCTTATTGTATTAAAGATCATATCTTGTCCATAAAATATACAGTAAATTCCTAAATATACGCGTGGAATTAATTATCGCGTTACTTCATGAGAAGCACCTCGTAATAAAATTACTCGCTTTATTTTTATGGTGCTGAAATGTATGTAAAATCCCTTAATCAAACGTCCATTTGCGAATTATTATTCTCGCGATTTGACGTTGAAGAGCCAATTCGCGATAATAACTACTCACGAAAAATAAGGAATCTACAGTATATCATGTAATTAATAAATTTTTACTGTAAGTAAGTATGCTGGAAGATGGCCTGCTTTGACTACTCCAAACAAATGATTCCAGTGATTAAATAATTCAGTGCTGTTTTCAATATTTTTTGAAGAAAAAAAATTGAGAAAACAGTAAATCTTGTGTAAGGCTAATTTTGAGTACCTTATCTATAAACCTTGTCTAAAATTAGACATTGTTAAGATGATGACTATCTCAAAGGGACCCTCTTCAAATGAAACAAATGGATGAAAGACCTTTCATCTAATGGCAGTAATGGCACTCTAAGTGAAGTCTGAGTAAGGCATGGCTCAAGGGAGAAAAATGTTCTGGTAAAAATTTTTACTAGGATTTGCTATAACCCTTCTTTAACCTAACACTTTGCTTTAAAGATAATACAAGTGCTTTACTAATGTGCACCCTATGGTTGAAGTTTGAGCCCCAAATAAGCTGTCGGGAGAGAAAATATGCTCCAGACAAGGAAGAACAGAAGAGCAACTATAGGGCACCCACAGAGTGGAACCCTAGTAAGAGGGCCTTTTTATTTCTACTTTTCTTTCTAATGTACAGATGATACAGATTTAACTCTACAGTAGTTAAGCTGTTTAGTTGATTTTATTACCTGTTCCTTGTACTGATCAGCATGGCGGCGCTCATCTTCTGCCTGAATAGCAAAGTCCTTCAGTTTCTTATCCTGTCTCCTTAACAGTCTTTGAAGCTGAGTTCTCTCCCTACAAAGCGAACAACATTCACTGAACATTATCGCCTTCATACAAGCAACCTGTATAGATTTCTTGAACAGCTGCCTTACCAACATTGAGACAATCATATCGATAAAGCAATATTTAACATATTATCTTTCACTTTAAATGTTTTTCAAACAGCTGATTTGAACATATTTTATTGTACTAAATATATATAGCTGCAATAATGTAGCCCTCTCCCTTTTTTTTTTTTTTTTTTGGGAGAAGGCTACAACTCCTTAGGATCTTTCTAATGGCGCAGCTGCGGGAGTGATTTGCTCCCGCACGGATTTCGGCTCAAATTAACAGTAAATGGCTATTTTATTAACATTTCTTACCTTGACTCCAAATAAGTAGTCATCCAAGATGTAAACCAATGCAAAAATATACAGAATGATCCCTATATCGCTTATTTTTCGTGTATGTCATCATCACAACTCGAATTTATCCGCCATGTTTACTGACCTTGATAGATTGTATTTTGGGACAGCCAATGAGAATTTAGGTTCTATAGGAGCGGATCTTTTTGGAATTCCCTTATTTTAAACATAAATATCGCTGCTTGCATAAAAATAACACTTAAAATGGTTTTATATACCTATGTTTTTGTGATGAAATTCAGCACATACATTTATAAACACCGATAATTGCTTTATTCAGTTGTTCTAAATTTCAAGCGAGAGTCTCATTACGTCATGCGTGAACTGTCATGGCTGCTGAAGTAAACTACCAGGAAACATGCAGAGTTATTTTACAAGTTTTTCGCATTTAACGGGGTCTACTGTTGACAGTGAATAAAAAATTCGTCTTATTAGAAGTAAGTTGAATGTAAAAATAATTTATTTTGCCTGCAGTCGCTCCTATTAAAAAAAAATATTTGCACCATTACGGAGATGCGATGGAATTGTAGCCCTCTCCAGAAAACATCAGATTAAAAAAAATCGGAGAGGGCTACATTATTGCAGCTATAAATATATACAATGGGATTGGGCACAAGTTCTAAATACTTAAATCGCCCTCTTTGGTTTGGTGGCCTTAGTTCGAGCTCAAACGGCTATAAATATAAACAATAATTTTTTCTTTGTTTTTAAGAATTGAAAACTAGATTGCAGCTATTGCCTAAAAAAAACTTTGGCAAAATTAATTCCCATACTAACAATCAAATAAAGAATATTATTAAGTAAATCATATTACTTGGTCTCACCATTCAAATGATCATAAACAGAGAGTACTACTTGATCTTACTTGGTCTCTACATCTAGCTGCTCCTCTAGATTAGCCACCTTGCCCTCCAGAGCTGCAATGGTGGCCTTAGTTCGAGTTCTAATCTGGTTCTCTAGTTCAGCTAGTTTCTCTTTCAATTCCTTGTTTTGTCTCTCCAGTGTTGATCTTTGATTCTCCATCTTCTGTGTTAGGGACCTCTCTGTGTTTAGTTCTGTAGTCAGCTGTTCTACCTATAAATTCATAATACGCATTTACATTTAAGTGTACAGTATCAGCAAGAAGGAAAATGAAGTGAATGAAGAATTTCTGTAGGAGAAAGAGGGATCTGCTGGACAACTACATGTAAATGCCTTTTATTCCTGAAGATTAACTAATCCATCTTAAGATAAATCTAATGGACCTTGCAATGAATAGCAAAGGTGGAATTAAATGGTTATAATCATTTTTCCCAGGGTAGACAACATCACTCCAAAAAGTTACATTATTGGTCGACAATATTTGTTGACCCTTGAATTGATGGTCTCAAAATCATGAAATCATTTTGTCCTTAAGGGAAATCCAAACACCAAGTTCGATGTTTGGTCTAAAGATATTAGACAGAAAAGATCTTCCTGCTCAAGTTGTTTAACCCTTGACCTTGTAGGCTCACAATTAATAGGGATAAATTACTGTAAAGGGATAACGGTGTACCTAGTCTGATATCTGTCAAGCAGAGTTCTCTCAATATTGAGTGGGCAGCATACTAACCAAGAGAAAGGTGCAAAGCAGTACACCCACTTAGACCTTTCTGAATTTTGTAAGAATCATTATCTTTTTCTCTATTATCATTATTAGAGATTTAAATTTAACCTGGTTCATTGCTTTGCGGGCTTTATCATTCAACATTTCACTACTGATCTGTTATTAGAGGTATAACCTGGTTCATTGCTTTGCGGGCTTTATCATTCAACATTTCACTATTGCTCTGTTCCTCCTCCAGCTCCTCTTCCAGTTGTTGAAGCCTGGCCTCCATTCTTCTCTTTTCCTCCAACAAAGCAGACCTAGAATATATTTCATACTATGTCACGACCATCCCTTGAATATGATATGGATATGTAATTCAACTCTCTCTCTTTGTTATATAGAACTGAATCCTTTTTGCAGCCCTATCTTGAGGATGCAGTATTTTTATACTACTCTGGAATCATCACTTTTCATGGGGGGACGAATGTTCCTAGTTCTAAGGGAACAGTTATAGCCCCAAGAATGTTTATTTTGTATATATATATCAACTCATTGAATGTATTTTTTAGACACACAACCCACAAAATAACCTCCACACAAACAAAGTAGAATTTTGCTTGACCAAAAACACTGACCCTCCATGAAATAAAATCATTCAACAGTATTTATTTATATACAAATTAAATCTGGGACCCATGGCTTTCAAGAGGAGGCCAATTGCCTATGACAGTAAACTGGACATCATCAATATTGCGTTTTTATAAGTTACAGCTAATTCATTCTTAAAGTCAAGTTTTCTTTACCTGCAGTTTTAAAACATATAATAAATTTAATGATATAATAAAATTATGATTAGCCAAATTGAATTTTTTCATCTCTGAGTGACATCTCCCTCCAAGCACATTTTACTGTAAATGGCAGAGCCAGTGGCACATGAAGAATCAATTTCAACTCTGAACTTGTATAATGATTAAATGCAAGACTTAGTGCTGTGGTTGTAATTTCCAGACTTACTTTCCAGTTGTGAAGCTACTGAGTTCATCCTGCAGCTCATCTCTCTCCGCCTCAGCATTACGCTTAGCTTTTTCTGCTGCTGCCAGGTCCTCTTGTAGCTGAAGAATCTCAGCATCTAAACTTTTTATCTTGCGTTCATTTTCCTTCACTGTACCTTGCATTTCCTCTCTGGCTAACCGTGCTTCATCCAACTCTCGCTGGTTTTCCTTCATTTGTGCCTGAATTCGACGAAGCTGTTTTACAGCATCGTCTTTCACTTTGTTTGCCATTTCAACTTGCTGCATAAAATCTTTCAAATCATTTTCAAGTTTCTTGCGTCCATTTACTGCTATTGCTTTCTGTTTCCTTTCATCCTCAAGTTCAGCTTCCATGTCTCTCAGCTAAAAATATAAGTTTATTAATGTTATCTAATCATAATAATTTTATTAATTTTAAATATTACCCACTACAAATTTCTAGTTAACAAATTTAGAGCCAGAGCAACATTTGCCTGAGCCATAAAGAATTAAAACAGAAATGAACTTACTCACATAAACCTCATGGGTTAAATGTATTTAAAATCAAAGAAATTATAGATACAATGTAACTAAAAAAACATGTACTTTCTAATACCTCTCCTATAAAAGATGGTTTACAGGGCTCTCACACCACTTTTTGGGACTGGGGCCGGGGCCATTCAAATTGGGAAAATTATCGTCATTTTGGGAAAAGTTGGATAACCATTCATTTTAAAAAATCCTCAAATTTTGCTTTTCTAGCATTTTGTCATCAATTTAACTCTGGTTTTGAATAAACAGTTGAACAGAATAAACATGGGTATGAGGTTAGAAAAAAAATCAATAATGCTAACAAAAGGACAAAACCCAATAAATGCTAGTCAGAGGAAGGGCAGACCTGTCTAAGGAGAAGTTTCTTCTGATCTTCCACTGCCTCCTCTTTGCCTTGGAGCTCTCTCTCCAGCTGAGTCTTAAGTGCCTGCATGTTGACCTCCAGCCTCAGCTTGGCATCCTCAGAACACTGAAGCTCATCCTCCAGCTCCTCAATGGTATTTCTCTGCTCCTCAACCTGACTTTCCAGTGTTCTCTTGGCTTTCTCCAACTCGTGTACCTGACAAGTCAAAAGATATTCAGAAATAAGGCAAACATCGCTTTGCAGCAAAATACATGCATAAGTAGATTAAAATGAATGAATGAAACCAATTACATTTCCATACTACTGGGAGATGTAGTTTGAATTTTATAGTCTATTCCCGAGGAGTTGAACAGTTCCAAAACTTTAAGGAACTGTGTGCTACATTTAAATGTCTACATATGCTGTTGTACACTTCTTCTTAAACAAGTCTGGATAAACAAAACATCTAGTATTGATGTTAAGTATTTTTTGTACATTTTTCTTTGAATTACACAAGATTTTTCATAAATTGATATCTTTTAAAAACCTCTGGTGATGCATGCTGATTTTACGTCTATGAGCATCTGATGGTAGTGTACTTTTAAATTAAGAATATCTTGAAAAAATTTTCAGTAGGTAAGGTACGTTGCGAATGTCCATAAGAAGAATTAACAAAATTTCCAAACAACAACTTATTGATATGATATTCTACTGAACATTTCTACCATCACTGGATGAAACATGTTGTATCTTACATTCTTTCCTACATCTGAGCTTGTTGATACAAGGTCCTCGAGCTCGCGCTGAGAAGCTAGTCTACCCTTTTCTGCCTTCTCATACATCTCTCTCATTTCCTCCAGTTCTCTCTGAAGGTTCAGGATTTTGGTCTCTTTTTCCCGAGACTCTCTCTCTGCATTATCTCGTTCATTAGCTAACCTGCAATTTTATTTTAAAACATCAAATACAATCTAAATATTTTACATGCATTGTGTTTCTATCATGCATTGTGTTTCTATCATTTTTTTTTTATTTTACAATATGACAAAACAAATAAGAAGAAATTCCATGCCTTTGTGAAACAGCTTTCTCATCAGAGAGCATTTGATCGAATTTCTTCTGTTTTTTCTCCATGTTTGAAGCAGCAGACTTTTGGGTTTCTAATTCTACTGTCAGATCTTCAACCTGAAAATTGATTTAAAAATTCTAAAACATACTGAAAAACATGGAATATTAAAGTCAAATTAGTCCCATTTATTATGGAAATTTTTACTCTCTAACCATCATCCACTTGGTTTAAGGCATTTCATGATAATTCATAAATCAGGCACTTGATCCTAGCAGGGAATTAACACCCCCCCCCCCCTTTCAGTGCTTTTAAGAAACCTCAGTTTCTGATACCAAAATTTTATTCCACTGAAATTGACAAATCCTCCAATTTCATGGTATTTCCGATTTCTGTAAAGTTGAATTTATCAAGACTAGTGCTCTAATTGTATAACCAGCTCCCTGCTGACTGCCAACTGACCTCTGCCTGTAGCTTCTTCTTGGACTTCTCCAATTTGTCAGCTGCTGCCACGGTTTCCTCCAGTCTAACTGTTAACGCATCCACTTCTCGTGCTAGTTTCTTTCTCTGCTCTTCAGCAGTCTCCAGATTATGGGCATCCTCCTCAGATTTTTTCCGCAATTCTCCAAACTTAATAAACAAGGCCAAAAGTGAACTCACAAAATACACTGTTATGTTCAATTTATTGAATATCAAGTTTTTCAAACATCCTCTAATACATACATGTAGATTTGTACCATTTAAATTTTTCTTTTGATTTATTCAAAGACAATTAGGTAGACAAGAGCAATGACGTATGTTGATTACCTTGTTTTGCAGTTCTGCTATTTGCTTTTCCAGCTGCCTTTTGTTTTCCTCCTCTTCTTCAATGCGTTCATTTAGCGAGGAAATGTCATCGGTGGTTTGTCTAAGCTTGGACTGGGCCATTAACTTAGCTTTTGTCTCATCATTTATTAATTCCTGTTATTAAACAGTTAAAAACAAATGAGATTTTGAATAGATTTCATGAAATATAGATCTACATTCAACCACTCATACTTTTTTTTTCAAATGTTGACACCACATACACCTTACCTGAGCATCCACAAGCTGTGCTTCTAAGGAGCTGACCTTCTGTGTCATTTGAATGTTTTTGGTTTCTGCTTGCTCCAGCTGTTTACTAACTGATTCTAATTCAAGCTGAAATTATTCAGTAAAAAAAAAATATAAAATTCATACTCTTTCACATACGGGGAACACATTTTTTAAAGATCAATCCAACTTGCTGATAAGTTTGACAAGAACACTTACACTAAGCTTGGAAGCCTTATCAGCTGCTTCAGCTCTGCTACGCTCAGTTTCCTGAAGCTTAATGGATGCTTCCTGAAGATGCTGCTCAGTCTGCTTCCTTTTTCTTTCAGATTCTGTTTTGGCCATTTGGACAGATTTCAGATCATTACACAAATCTTGATTCTCTGCCTCCAGTGTCTGCTTCGTCTTCTCTAATAGTTGTTTATTCTGAAATAAGTTGAAGAAAGAATACACAGACAAAGTACATTATCATTTGAAATATAAATTATTTTATAATGGCTGAAAACATTTAGTGTAATGTCCCATGAATAGTGAGCTATGACTTATACCTTTTACCTCAAACTTATAACAAAATCAAACTGAAGGCCCATAAGCTACAGTGATTATCTGAGAATTTATTCTCAAAACTGTTTACCTTATTCTGCATTTTTCTGCAATTTAAATGGTTTTTCTTCATAATTTGAGTTTTTCCGGAATTTTATGTTACTTGTGTATTGTCTAATTATTTAAAGAACATTTGAGAACATTTAGATTAGAATGTTTACTGTTATGTTTTAAATATCCATTTATCAGCTATGACATGCATAACTGGAAATCTGGCTATTTAAATATAAGTAAATTGAGAATTTTCTCATTTTTGCTAACAGAGTTTTGTCCTACCAAAAATTATGAATCAACTAATTTAAACATGGTGCTATTTGGATCTACTGTGATTCGATTTGTGACCTTACCCTGTCCCTCCCCTGTTTACAATTTAACAGTCACATGTATCAACACAACTCATTTTAAAATTTTTGCACTAAACATTTCATCAATTACATTGACTGGCAGTGCCAAAAAAAACAACAACAGTGAATCTGACCTTTTTTACATTGTCCAAGTCCTCATTAAGCTGATCTAGCTGCTGTTGGTATTTATGTTTAACGTCATGTACAGTGGATTCATACTGTTTCTGACTGGTCTGTAGAGCTTGTTTGAGATCACGAAGTTCATCCTCCCTTTTGGCCCTGATGTCTTGGACAGCTGCCGTTGCATCTAGATTTTCTTCCAACTCAGTTTTTAATGCCTCCAGTTCCTAAAGAACATATTTAATTTTGCAAAATTTCACTGTCTCGACAGCTGAAAATTAAATGAGCAACAATCAATGCCATAACTATCTAATCTAGTTCATTTTCAAACAAACCTCATTCAAATCCCTTTTCAATTTTTCAGCCTTATTTCTGGCTTCCTTTTCAGCATCTAAATCTTCCTGTAACTCTTGCATTTGAGTCTGGAGATCTCTAAGTTGTTTTTGGAATGTACTTTTTGCAGCTCCTTCCTCTTCAACTCTGCAATTTAAAAAATAAGAAATACATCTTTAAAAGAACAGTCTCTACTGCTTATTTCCTGAGAGAAGAAAAGAAATTTGAAGTTGAAAATAGAGTGATTTTAATAAGAAGAACTTAAATAAGGAACACTGTCAAAAGCCACGAGTTTAGTGTCCATTCTATTTCCACAAATTGGTAGCTTTCTTTATAAAATTCTCAACCTAAATAGCATTGGTACTCAACTAGTGGAATAATAGTAATTTGATGCATTGTCATATAAGTTTTGTCAATCCACTGGTCTATCCTGTACTTAGATGTAAATCTATCCACAAGCTTCTACTCAAACATTTTTGTCGAAACAAGTGATGCTATTCAGTGTATTCACACCAATTCTGCATTCAAGACCTTTTCTTTTAATGTTAAGCTTCGAAAATGTTTAAGAATATATGTTACTTGCCTTTGTTCTTCAGGATCTATAATATATTTTATCATTCCAACTTAAAAACTCTACATATTGACATACTTTTGAAGAGTGAACTGTACTTCTTCTTCACGTTTGGACAAAATGCCCTGAAGTTCTTCAACTTGCTGTCTTTTCTCCAAAAGTTGTTCTCGCAGGTCATTTAACTCTGTCTCAAGGCGTCTTTTAATTTTTTCAAGTTCTTGACGAGCCTATAAAACAATCATCCTCTCTGTTGTTCAGGTATAATTTTAAAAATGCAACATTCATACAATTCAAAGTATAATTCTCACAGATTCATATTTCAGAATTCCATTACCTGTGTTTCTTTTCTTAAACGCTCCTCTAAGTCAGCTATAATAGCTTCATATTTATTTTTCAGTTTTCCTAGCTGTTTAGCTTTCTCTTCTTCCTCTACAAGCTGACTCTGCACTTCATTATAACGTTCTTCCAGACTGCGTTTTTCTTTCACTAATTTCTGATTACTATCATCCTGAACAGCTAAATCTTCTTCTAACTTTTTAATTTTAGATTCTGCTGAGACTTTTTCTAATTGTAATTTCTGTCTTGCTTGTTCTTCATCTTCTAGTCTAAAATTAAACATATTTTCGTTAGCAAAGTAAAAAAAAATTTTTTTAACAAGACCATCACTTGCTGATAAGTAATTTTTTAAAAGATCCCTCCCCCCAAAAAAATTTGGTATCTTGATAACAAATTTATTTCCATGATCTGCATTTTTTCAGACCATGAGAATTTAATTTTTTAAAATGTTATGTAGATGTACATGTATGTTAAGACAAGTGAAAAACGCTTTAGATCTGAGTCTTCTATGCTAATACTTTGATTTCTAATCATGTGTGTATTCTGCTGACCAAGTTTTTATAATAACAAACATAAAAGACTTGTTTAGGTTAGGGTTTTAACTTACTGATCTTCCAAATCTGTGATTGTTTGCTGGAATTTTTTTCGTTCGTCGATGAGTTGATTGCATTTTTCCTCTTCTTCCTCAATTCTGATCTCCATTTCATGAAGAATTTCTTCCAATTCATCCTTCTTTGCTCCTATACGTCGCCTGGCCTACAATTCATTATATTAATATGATACTGTTTTAAGATGACATCCCCGTTCTAAGTTACAGGATCAGGAACTGGTACTCACCTCCTCTGCCTCGGCTGCCACTTCCTCACTGGCCTGAACCTGCTCTGCCAGGATTGATTTCTCCTCAATAATCTGGGCATAGCGACGCTCTATTTCCTCATAATCAGACTTTGTCTTCTCATAGCTTTCCTTATACTTCTCAAGTTCTTTCTCTTTCTGAGTTATCTTTTCTTCTTGTCCAGTAACAGGCAAAAGTGGTTTTACCTATCATAAAGTATGCACTCAATTCTATAATATTTTATTTCCTTTTCAATATTTATCAAGTAAAAAGAATGAAATATTTTGACTTTTAATTAGAAATAAAAGACATTACATTACCTTTGTAAATAGTCTCCACCATGCCCAATTGCGAAGTTTAAGGTAGGCTGCACAATTTCTTTGAATAACTCGGATTGCGCTAAGCTGCTGTAATCGCCTTTGATAATTTCTATATTAAAGATATGAAAAAGCCAAGTGAAAAGAAATGTTTTATTTATATTTTAATACTTTTTTCTTTTTATCAAGAATTTTCAAATTTATAGTCACCAGATTATATTACCTCCTTGCTAATAAGCCTCTGCACAGTGACTGGAACTGTATAATTACATCTGTCAATTTGAGATCTCTTTCCTCCTCCAAATGAGCAAGTACACCAGCTCGGAAAAATATCTTGCTCTGACCAACACGGTACAAGTTTGGATCAAGTTCTAGAGCTGCAATCTACAAAAAGTGTATGCTTTCATTTAAAGATTGTTTTCATGTGATGGCAATTGTACTAGTCCTTCAACATTTCAACTGGCAATACACATGCTTAAAACATAGGTCATAATTAGCAATCAGAATCTTCTTTTTTCCCTTTTTTTCAGATCTTACCATTCTTTCTACAGCCTTCTTTCCATCCATGAATCCTTTAGGAATGCAGTTTGGACAGAGAATTTCATATCTCTGACGGAATTCTTGGAAGAGAATTCTGTTGGGAAACCCTTGTCTACAGATTCTAATTCCTTCCAATACACCATTACATCTCAGCTGCTCCAGCACCAGAGGAGAGTCAATCTTGCCAGCCTATACAACAAAAGTAACTTATATGATGTGTTTAAAAGCACAGAAAATAGTCATGTCAGTAACTAGGAAGTCAATAGCAAGCTCCAGGTAGTATATATGTGACATGACAGTTGCTTATAAAAATAGACTACTTTTGCAGAACTTAAACAACTGTTATCACTGTTTGATATCAACAGAAAGAGCCCATGCAACACTTTTTAAAATTCAATTTTTTTAAATATAAGAAATACATTCTATATCTTCATCTTACATAAAATAAATAAAAAATGACATTTTATATGTTTTGCTTCTTCGGTTTAAAAAAATCAGATAAGTGTATCATTTTTACTAAGGATACACAGTACCTATATTAAATCTAATAATTCTTTAGAGAAGAAACCAAGAACTTACAAATTTTGTTTTCTGAGGGAATGTTGGCAATCTGAATGCATTTCATTTGCCTGATGTGGGAAAAGATTTTCAGAGCTAGGTTTTTTCATTGAAAATGATAGTTTGAAAAATGATTTTTCATTTGTCTTGTTTTATAATAGCAACAAATTATAAGACAATGCACATCATTTGACCAACCTATTGTAATAAAGCATCATGAAAGTAATTAAGCTTAATTAGAGAAATATGTACGTTCCATTTCAATTACTAGATCTTGATCTTAAAGGAACTAGAAAACTGACCAGTCAGCAAGGGCCCCGCCATGGGGTAGAATTATAAGGGTGCACCTTATGGAATGATTCAAAAATATATGACAAATAAGAAACAGCAACTGTATTCTTAAAATTTCAAGATAATTCCTGAATATCCAAAAACCTGTTAATAATATCCTTGTATTTACATAAGGCAGTAAAGAACAACTCAACACTGAATGTATATCTGAACAATAATGAAGCTTGTGTTATATAAAATGCCAGCCTTCAATGAATGCAACTATATATCATGAAGGCATGACCTTAACTTCCAAACAAACAGCAGTTGCAGACAAAGGTTTTCATTAATCTTAAAAGTGACAGATAAAGATAAGCCTTCTGAAGAACTTCATTCGGTTATAACCAATATTTGCCCCGCAAATCAAACTTTGATGGAGATATACAGTAAAACTCGGTTATAGCGAAGTCCTTGGGACCTGAGAATTTTATTCGCTATATCCGTAATTCGTTATATCCGTATAACGAATTCGTATAACCATTATAGCGAATTCGCACTATGCATGTTTTCTTTCAAGTATTACTACCAACTATGTTAGTGAAGCAAATATTACAAAACATATCTTCGATAACTAAGGTTTTCTTATGAATTGAGTTTCATATACAAATGCTAAAAGGAAATAAAGTAAGTTCAATTTATCATTTTTTTTATAATCTTTGAAAGTTCGTTATAAAAGATGTAAATTTCATTATATTTAACCTCAACGGGACTCAAGATCAGTTCGCTATATCCGTAAATTCGTTATATCAGAGTTCGTTATAACCGTAAAATTTTACAAAGATTTGTTAAGAATTTTGCCGGGGACCCAGAAAAACTTCGCTATATCCGTGAATTCGCTATATCCGTGTTCGTACTAAACGAGTTTTACTGTATTTAAGTAAGTTCTTAAACAGGGGAGTATATGCTGACTTCAAAGCACTGAATATTTTCATAAGTAATGACGCCATATGTACGTAATGACATCACAAACATGACGTAAATTTCAGTTTTTTATGAATTTTACAGAAAAATGTACATATTTCGTCGATATTTTGAGTAAAAGTCACCGAGCGCATGTGTGTTCAGGATCAATATTTTGATATAATGTGTAGAATGATAATATCAATGAAATATGTCAATATTGTTCCTGAACAAACTTGCGCTCTATAAATTTTAAAGCTAAAATTGTTGAAATTTTGTCCATTTTGTCCTCTTTCTGAAAAAGGATATAAAATCGGACTAGTTTGTGATGTCATAATAACAAAAATTGTGAATACACTGCTTTGACACTATAATATTTTCTGTTAATTTATATTTCTCACATAATTTATTGAATTCAGCACATTTCATGAAGTTTTCAAAATTTGACTTTTGTGGGGGCAAATATATGCAATATAATGCATATAGTTCTTTTCTGCAGCAGACTAGATAATTAATCCCAAGCGATTAATTGTACTTCTCTCTCATCATTTTCTTCTGAATTTATAATAAGAACGTTTTCAGTAACGATAGAATGAGGTTTTTATCCTACTACATTAAAAATCAATAATATTCTTGAATTTACATGAAGCAAGAAAAAAAATAAATAAATAAAAATAAAAAAAATATATCTTCTTTAATCTATTTCCTGTTTTAAGAATTCAATGAAATCAGAACTCATTGTGTAGGGTATTTCAACAAAAATAAAGTAAAAACATTTATACTTCAATCCACTTAAATGGACTTAACTTCAAAACAAATTTCATTTGTAGACAGAGGTGGTAATTAATCTCATTGTGACAGATAAAGATAATGCTTTGGATTTTTTTCAGGAGGAAAGCTAATTAATCCCAAGGTACTCATTCATTGCAGTATTCAGTTTACAATGGGAACATTTTCAGAAGTTATCTCTCTTTGCCAATTCATTCTTATATAAAGTTAAGCAATCTACCCCCACCACCCCAGCTCCAAACCAGAGGACATAGAGAAACAAACTTAGCATCAAAATATGTCTTTTTGCCTACTGAACTACCATACCAAATTTGAACTTAATTGGGCTACCAAAAAAAAAGTTATTAGGAAAAAACAGAAAATTTGTGGACGGAAGAATGACAGACAGACAGACAGACAGAGTGTTTACTATAGGGCACCCGCAAATCCTTGCGGGGCCCTAATTAGAATCATAACATCCATTTAGACTTATTTTAAAAGTCTGTCAACCAACCCAGACAATCGTGAACTCTTGAAAACTCAAAACTCTTTATCTCTGTAGCTTTTCTTCTGTCCCGGGGACTTCAATATTTCATGATAACTACAGTACACAGGGTTATTTTCACCCCGTGTTATTTCCGCCCTTTCCCACTTGAAAACAATTTTGTCCAGCTTTAACTTCGCCCAGTCATACTGTAGATCACTTAATTTTTGCGAGATAGTCATTGACTCTTTATCAGCCAGACAAAATTTTCACGAATTGTGTTCATTCTACTTCATTGCTCTATATAATCTTAAGGAATTCTTTTATACGCTAGACTTAAATTTTGGCGAGCATACCGTCTCGCGTAATTACGCGAACATAAATTTCTCGCGAATAAAGTGATTTACAGTAGTTTTGATTAAGAACTAGAAAACTGACCAGTCAGCAAGGGCCCTGCCATGGGGTAGAATTATAAGGGTGCACCTTATGGAATGATTCAAAAATATATGATGAATAAGAAACAGCAACTGTATTCTTAAAATTTCAAGATAACTCTTTAATGTCCAAAAACCTGTAAATAATATCCTTGTATTTATTTTACATAAGGCAGTAAAGAACAACTCAACACCGAATGTATATCTAAACAATAATGGAGCTTGTGTTATATAAAATGCCAGCCTTCAATGAATGCAAATATATATCATGAAGGCATGACCTTAACTTCAAAACAAACAGCAGTTGCAGACAAAGGTTTTCATTAATCTTAAAGTGACAGATAAAGATAAGCCTTCTAAATTTTCTGCAGCAGGCCAGATAACTAATCCCAAGGGATTAATTGTACTTCTCTCTCATCATTTTCTTCTGAATTTATAATAAGAACTTTTTCAGTAATGATAGAATGAGGTTTTTATCCTACTGCCTTAAAAATTAAAAATATTCTTGAATTTTCATGAAGCCAAAAAAAAAATAATAATAATAAAAAAACAAGAGGCCCATGGGCCTTATAGGTCACCTGAGCATTATGCAACAACTTTCCAGTGATTGAATTTGATTCATGTTTTAAGCCAGATGCTATGGCATTCACAATTTTGAGAGGCATCATTGATCATCATAACTATACACTTAGCAGTTGCTTAGTTTGGTTACTTAATACCCATAGACAAGGCAGAGGAACAAAAAATACATTTCAACTAATTAGTAATATTCAGCAATAATCAGTAGTGCCCCTACTACACATGAACTCCTGACCCTTAGGCCTAGATCCACACATTGCACAATTTTTGAAAAGGCATCCTTGTTTTTCAAAAATATTTTATTAATACCAAGGAGCAGAATTCAAACAATTCATTCATTTTCAGTCTATAAGTACAGCCCCCCCCCCCTCTATGGTACCCCTGACCCTGGGTCCTTGAAATTCACAATTCTGGAAGCTAACGGTCCTTGTTCGTAACTATATAGGTAATCCAACTGCTTAAAACCCAGGAGCAGAGAAGAAAATTTTCAAAGATTTTATGTATTTCACTATAATCAATAGAGCCCCCCCCCCTAACACCAGAACCCTGACCCTAGGGCCCTAAAATTCACAATTGTGGTAGAGGCACTCTTGCTCATTATAACTATATATTTAGTTAGTTTATTTAATACCTAGGAGCAGAGAAGAAGATTTTAAAAGAATTCATGAATTTTCACTACATAATCAATAGAGCCCCCCCCCCCCCCAACACAAGAACCCCTGACCCTGAGCTCCTAAAATTCACAATTTCGGCAGAGGCACTTATGCTCATTATAACTATGCACTTAGTTAGTTTATTTATTACCTATAAGCAAAGAAGAAGATTTTCCAAGAATTAATGTATTTTCACTATATAATCAATTGAGCCCCGCTCGAACAACAAAACCCCTGACCCTGGAGCCATGCAATTCAAAATTTTAGAAAAGGCACTCTTGCTCATTATAACTATGTGTTAGTAAGTTTATTTAATACCCAGAAACAGAGAAGATTTTCAAAGAATAAATGCATTTTCACTATATAATCAATAGCGCCCCGCCCTAACACCAGAACCCCTGACCCTGGGGTCCTAAAATTCACAATTTTGATAAAGGAACTCTTACTCATCATAACTAGGCACTTACTTAATCTATTGAATAACCGGGAGCAGAGAAGAAGATTTTCAAAGAATTCATGTATTTTTACTCTATAATCAATACAGCCCCCCCCCCCTCTAACACAAGAACCCCTGACCCTGGGGCTTTAAAATTCCCAATTTTCGTAAGGGCACTCTTGCTCGTTATAAATATGCACTTTGATAGTTTAATTAATACCCAGGAGTAGAGAAGAAGACTTTCAAAGAATTCATGTATTTTCACTATATAATCAATAGAGCCCCCCCCCCCCAAACACCAGAACCCCTGACCCTGGGGCCATAAAATTCACAATTTTGGTAGAGGCACTCTTGCTCATCATAACTATGTAAGTAGTTTGTTTATTTAATGACCAGGAACAGAAAAGAAGATTTTCAAAGAAATAATGCATTTTCACTATATACTTATTTAGCCCCGCCCTAGCACTAGAACCTCTGACCCCAGGGCCATGAATTTCACAATTTTGGTAGAGGACTCAATGCTGATTACAATCATGCAAACAGTTTGACTGCTTGATGTCCAGGAGTAGAGAAGAAGATTTTTAAAGATTGCATTAATTTTAGTGGTTTTGGCCCCATCCCTCAGGCCCCAGGGGTGCAGGGATCATGAAATTCACAATTTTTGTTCCCCTTCACCCATAGATGCTTTGTGCCAAATTTGGTTGAAATTGGTTGAGTAGTTGCAGAGAAGAAGCTTAAAATGTTCAAATGTTAACGCACAACGCACGACGCACGACGCACGACGACGGACGACGATAAAGAACAACTTAACACTGAATGTATATTTAAACAATTATGATGCTTGTGTTATATAAAATGCCAGCCTTCAATGAATGCAAATATCATGAAGGCTTGACCTTAACTTCAAACAAACAGCAGTTGCAGACAAATGTTTACATTAATCTTAAAGTGACAGTTAAAGAAAAGCCTACTAAATTTTCTGCAGCAGGCAAGATAATTACTCCCAAGGGATTAATTGTACCTCTCTCATCATTTTCTTCTAAAGTTACAATAAGAACTTTTTCAGTTGAAAAAAAGTAAATTAAAAACTCTTCTTTAATCTATTTCTTGTTTTTAGAATTCACTGAAATCATAACTATTAAACAAAAATAAATTAAAAAAATTTATATTTAAATCCACATTTCAGAGTGTTCATAGCATTCCAAATTGACTTAACTTCAAAACAAACTTCATTTGCAGACAGAGATGGTAATTCATCTCAATGTGACAGATAAAGATAATGCTCTGGATTTTCTTCAGGAGGAAAGCTAATTAATCCCAAGGGACTCATAGCAGAATTCAGTTTACAATGGGAACATCTTCAGCAGTTATCTCTCTTTGCCAATGCATTCTTATATAAAGTTGAGGAATCTACCCCACCACCCCAGCTCCAAACCAGGGGACATAGAGAACCAAACTTAGCATCAAAATATGTATTTCTGCCTACTGAACTACCATACCAAATTTGTACTTGATTGGGCAACCATAAAAAAAGTTGCCCATTCATTCTTATGCATAGTTAAGGAATCTACCCCACCACCCCAGCTCCAAACCAGAGGACATAGAGAGACAAACTTAGCATCATAATATGTCTTTTTGCCTACTGAACTACCATACCAAATTTGAACTAAATTGGGCTACCATAAAAAAAGTTATTAGGAAAAAACAGAAAATTTGTGGACGGAAGAATGACAGACGGACAGACAGACGGACAGACAGACAGACAGAGTGATTACTATAGGGCACCCGCAAATCCTTGCGGGGCCCTAATAATAAAGTAGGGTATTTCAACAAAAATAAAGTAAAAACATTTATACTTCAATCCAGATTTCAGAGTGTTCATAGCATTCCAAATGGACTTAACTTCAAAACAAACTTTATTTGCAGACAGAGGTGGTAATTAATCTCAATGTGACAGATAAAGATAATGCTTTGGATTTTCTTCAGGAGGAAAGCTAATTAATCCTAAGGGACTCATTCATTGCAGTATTCAGTTAACAATGGGAACATTTTCAAAAGTTATCTCTCTTAGCCAATTCATTCTTATATAAAGTTAAGGAATCTACCCCACCACCCAGCTCCAAACTAGAGGACAAAGAAAAACACACTTAGCATCAAAATATGTCTTTTTGCCTACTGAACTACCATACCAAATTTGAACTTAATGGACTACAATAAAAAAAGTTATTAGGAAAAAACAGAAAATTTGTGGACGGCAGAATGACAGACGGACAGACAGACAGATTACTATAGGGCACCCGCAAATCCTTGCGGGGCCCTAATTATACTGTATTCCTTGAATACACTTCGTTTCAAATTTGCCCAAAGGGGGATAAGATGAAACGGAGGAAATTAAAACGCAGGCGAAAATTTTCCTGCATACAGTATTTGAATGAAAAAGTTTATCACTGAAAAGACTGACCTTTTTCTCATGATTTGGAATGATACATCTGACAAAGTTAGGGTTGGTGTTGCGTAGTGTAGCCATGAGCTTGGATAACTGTTCCTTGTAGAGCTGACCAACAGTCCTAAACATCCCCTTCCTTGTTCGAGATCCAAACATGGTATCTCCGCCAGCTGTGGCCCCCATTCCAACAATTTCAGCTGAAACAGGAGTATCCTTCATGTATTTGACACTCACAATTTCAAATGTTAGCAAGTTCTTTTTTAAAGGATAAATAGACTATATTAAACTAATGTCAAGTTATGGTTGTATTTCTTGCATATCCATTGCATTTGATTTCAGTCTGAGAAATGTTTTAAATATTGAATTAGTTTGTCAAAAGGATCATTACCGATTCACCCAAAACCTGAAAGGTAACCCATTTCTTTCAAATTTAATCATGTAACTTCCTACAATTTTCTTCTTAAATATTTCTATATATTTGTTACAGCTGTAAATCCATCAGACTAAGATTACCATCTTTCCATATTGCTGCAACAAAGGAGTCGGACGAGTTCTGCATCAGAGACACTACATTTTCATTCAAAGGATCCATATTCTTCATTAACCATTGGCTTGCTGAGTAGTCCACCTAAAATTAATAAACTTTTATTTCAAAAAAAAGATTAATAAAAAAAAAAGCAAGTCTTTTGTATAAATGACTTTTTTCTTTAATCTTAATATAAATAGGAATTATTTGTGAAGATTAAATACAAACCTGGCCAGCATAATGAATAAGGCTAAAATCAGCATCAGCTCGAAAGTCAGGCTTCCTAAATTTGGGATGTGTGGAATGTTGTGCAATAACTTTGTCAATGAAAGTTTTATCTGTGGCTTTCGGGAACCAGCATTCCTCATCCAAAAGTGCTAGAATACCTAATGGCTGAAAACATAAATTCCCATGCTTAGGGCAGACAATAATAAATGACTAACTTTTCAATAGTAAAATACTACAGCTTAGAATCCAAGTCCCTTTTTTAACCTTTAATATTCAACATAATCTCTGAATTCGAGTTTTCTTTAAACCACAGTTTTTTTGTTTTAATTTTGATGTTGTCCACCAATGCATACAAAAGGTATAGAAATTCCTACGTTTCCACATTGGCTATTATATTCTTTATGATTCTTTCTACATACCTGATTGCTGGATTTGTGCAAACATATCATGCAATATTTTTTTTGATTTAAGATCAATCAAAGAAACTATTAATGTCTCTTAAATAGGACCAAATTAATTTAAAGCTTTCTAGTGATTATGGAAAACTATTTTACTTTCTCTAAAAGGTCAATGGTAGGCTGAAGATCTAGTCCAAAATCAATAAATTTCCATTCAATTCCCTCCCTTTGGTATTCCTCTTGCTCCAGAATAAACATGGTGTGATTGAACAGCTGCTGCAGTTTCTCATTTGTGTAGTTGATGCACAATTGCTCAAATGAATTCATCTGCAAAACACAGAAAAATAAACACAATTAATAAAAGTATCATTTAGTCCATAAGTCATATGCATTTGTAATATCAGTAATGGAGATCTGGTGGGGATCACCTTAAGTCTTATCCCTACCCCCCCCCCCCCCCCCCCAAAAAAATATACATATATATCAGTGTTTTATCATTTTTAATTTCAGTGATGATATCTACAACTTCAAAGATTCTCTTCATACAATCCACAACCAACATTCAATGGGCAACTTACACCAAGTTTACATCATGCCATGCCAATAAAGAGAAAACAAGAGAGAAAACACAATTCTTTTGTCTGAAATGCTAATAAAATACACCCTACATTAAAGCTTAAGTATCCAAGATTTCAATAATTACATAGTTCACCTAAATGAATACTGTAAATCTGGAAATTTTTGCTGTAGATAAATTTTTAGCAAATTTGCGAGTTCATTGCATTCACAAAAATATTTTTCTTAAAAATAAATTACCAATAAGAAAATGTAAACAAAGCAGTGGTAATTCGCAAAATTTTGAAACGTAAAAATTAATCAACACCATTTTGACCCGAATTCGCAAAATAAAATCGACGTAAAAATTTCCAGATTTACGGTATTATGTCAATTGAAGTACTGCTCCCTGACTATAAAAAAATGCTGGTAGTGTGCAACTGTGCATCTATAGTTGCATAACATATGCAAGTTTTGACACTTCTTTAGGAATTATAGAATAGAAACCTAGGAATGAACTTCAATAGACTAGTGAATTAGAAATGAATTTTAATAGACTTTAAACTGGCCTGACATCCACAAGATATCAGTTAGATCTAGCATCTGAAGCAGGTTTGGTAGATTTCATACATCAATGCATCATCCAAGTTTAGCCATCATAGAGCAAGCGATTACTTGGGAATGGACCTGTTCACTTTATCCTGGTCAATCATCCAGAAGAAGCAGTTTTGATACAGTATCCGAAGTAACTTGAGTAATATGTATCTTTAGATACACTATCCAGGGAAGTTAAGTAACACTTTTAGTTACCTGGAGTTATATCTGCTCTAAAACTCTTCTTTTTTGGAAATTACTGGCTGAAAAAGCATCTTACATGCATCTTAAACTGAATGGTACAATGAAATATAGAAGATAAATCTCCTAGGCGACTCTGATCAAATATGGCATAGAAATACTTGAAAAGAAATATTATTATAATGATACCTAATAAAACTCTCTTGGAAAGTTGTCTGCACATATATACATTGATTACAAACTGAAATCAAAATTGACAATTGGCTTGAAATACTGTAAATGTATTATATTTGGCATGCACGATATTTGACGAACATTGATTTTTGAACAGGTTAGCGTAGATTTGATTTAGCGCATTTCTTCATTTTCGTATACATGAGTGTATGTGCAAGACATTTAGCGTTGTACTTGAATTAGCGGATGTTTCTTTCCGCCAAAGGCGCTAAAAAGAATACACAGCCAAATGTAATACGTTTACAGTACTATGGAATCATCAATGTTTGTTGGGGTCCCTGTTCGTGGAATTCAGTGGTCACCCCTATCCACAAATTTACCTCCCCTTCAACAATTATTAGTTTACCATAACTTTTCATTGAATCTTCAGTATATACAAGTTGCCCACAAAATTACATCTATATACACGAACAAACTTTTGCTTGCCCACAAACGCTGATCTCCACAAATTAAAATGCTTCCACAGTAGTAGGGCTGGAACGATACTACTTTTTCTATATTGATACATATCATGATATAGCCATGATACAATATCATAATATACAATGTATCAAGATATGTTCAATTGGTAATAAAATCTTTTTTGTATTGAAATGAACAAACATTTCTTCACAAATGAGAATAATTCTTTCAAAGAAATTGTATATCTGTTGTAGAAAAAAATTATTTTACAAAAGTTGTGTTCATTATTACGCATTTCATATTTTTATTTAGCATATTTATTTTTTATACATATAAAACCCCAAATGTAAGTAAAGAAAGATAAACATTTCCTTTTTTGCTACATTTCAATTTTTCTTTATACATATCAATTTGTGTATTTTCCTCACACAGAATCGATATCATCGATTCGTGATATATCGTCCTAGCCCTATTTTTAAAACGCAATGTAGTCTTTGGATGGCCTCTGAAGCAAAGTTAAACAAGGAAGAGAGCAAACACAAGATATTTTGAATAAAATAAGCTTGTAAACTAAATTAGATTTCTTTTAAAACCTCAAAATAACAGACATACATATTTAATTTGTTGTGGACAGAATTTTGCAACTAGCAGTTAAAAATCTGCGATCTAGTTCTTAAAACAGTAATTTAAAGATTTTATTTAAGAAATTTACAATCAGTTTGTGTAAGACTTTTGTATCTAGCCTGTAAGGAAACTTGATTGTCTACATACTGTATATGATGGGTAAACTAACTAAATACACAATGCAAAGAACAAATGGTCCTACTGTGATTAAGGTAATTAAGTTTTTAATGATGAGGTGCTAGAACAATATAATGATTAGTAGGAATTCTACATCTCAAATCATATTATCACATTGAACATTATTACACAATAAAAACACACTCCTCATTTCCCTTCAAAGCATTCATTAGCATTAATGTTTTATTTATTACTTTCCCTTGTCATATTATTTTTGAAATATAATATTCAAAAAATATGTCATTGAAGATTAAGTTATGAATTTGTCTTCTTTCTCTCTGAATATATTTCAACAATGCATTTTTGATTAATGCCTATTTCTTAGTGTTTATATATATGGATACACAACATCATTCAACTGATGGACAAGGTGTGAACTGATAAAATCATGCTGAACATCAGCAAAAAACACACAAATAATGAGAAAAACTGACTATAATTTACCTTGCCCTCACTTGACTGCAGGGAAAAATGGATATCCATACATTAAATATTTCCTTTTTTGGTTCATAGACAAATTAAAACCTTTTTTTGGAAATATTCACTTTCAGCATACATGTATCAACATTGCAGCGCATTTTAAACTACAAATCTTTATGTATACACAAAGCCTATACCCAATGATCAAATGCGAAATAAATACATATTTCCTGTTTCCTTGTTGGATTTGATTTATTCCTTATCAACAAAACAGTCTACCTACCTTGAAAATTTCAAATCCAGCAATATCCAGAATTCCAATAAAAGATGCCCCCTGTCTCTTGGTTCTGTCCAAAGATCTATTGATTCTTGTCACCAGCCATCTGAACATTCTTTCATACAGAGCTTTAGAAATGGCTTCAACAGAAAACTCCACCTATATTAAATTTGATTTTTGATATTTACAAGTACACCTTTTTATAATTTAACATGTCAGTGAATATTCTGTTTAGTATATCAAGGTTTTCCTGCATTGTCTTACAAAAGCAGTTCTACATTGAGTAGTTCTGTACCTGTTCCTTGGTCTGTGCCTTTGTGACGTAGTCCCTCCCCACTTTGATTCTTGGTCTCAGGAAAGCTTGAACAACAGCAGTCACTGGCACACCCAGAAGATGACAAACTTTTTGGGCAACTTGACAGCAATAAAAGAAGTACTCATTTTAACCTTCCAGAAATGTAATGTTAAAGACAGATATAAGAATAACTACCTCGAATGAAGAGTACTAAGTGATTCATAAAATTACCCGTGTCATCTGGCATTGATGCTTGATCTGAATTCCTACTCTCCTGCTTAAACTGCATATTTCCAAACATAAGAACAGATGACACCACTCTCAAAATGGCTATAAGAAAGAGAATTAACAAATACATGTATACTTTCTATATGCATTTTGAGAGTAATTTCAAGCTGTAAGTATTTCATAGAATAAAAGTCTACATGTTTATACTGCAAAAAGAATTCATGTATGTGTACATCATGGCATATGATGCAGTTAAATGAATGGTTAAAATTCCCCATGAAGAATGTTGCGATTGCTCTTTTCAAGAAATAAACTGAGTACAGCAACACATAATGAAAAATTGATTATGTTAGTAAATTTCTCCTATTAACATGAAAAGACCTTAAAACAAAGAGTCTTACCAGCCTGTTCCTCTGGACCAATGCCCATAATGGTCATGGCTTCCGCAGTGGCCCGAAATTCTGCACCATCGTCAACCCCATTTACAGGAATTCTACCTCCCGATAAAAAGCGATAGTTTCTGATGTCATCCAATAGAAACTCCTCTGTTAAAAAACAAATATCAAGCTATTTACTTCTTTAATCATCTAGTTTCAGATTACTATTTCTTGCTAGGGTCAACTCAACATTAATGTTAGTCACTTGATTCCAGATTAATACATTTCCATTCAGACTAATAAAATCTGTAAGTAGTCTGAACAAAACCATGAAAAAGATGTCAGATATCATGGATGTATTGAATAGCCAAAGCAAATGAGTTTGTACATCTGTACTTAATGATTGGGAGATTCATTCAATTTGTCGAATAAAACATTTCACCTGTACAGTTTTGTATGCTGTGCTCATTTTATACAGGATATTACATGTTTTGTTGTTAAATATGGAACACAACGTACTATTCCTTTTGTACTTAAAGGAAGTTGTTACAAAACATTCATCTTGCATTATTTGATGGACTTGTTTAAGTAAAGAAGCACTGATCTGGCTAAATTAATGCCTTAAAAGTAATTGTCCAACTCCCCTTGCTGAACTCTCCTCACAGTATATCATGGAACTTAAAGGCAGAGATTTTAAGAACCGCCTTCAAAAAAACCTGGTCTGGGTAGCCCTGTCAATCAAGTGTGTGAAAGTCCATCATTGGATGCTGGAACTTAATTGACACTTACTTACTGGTCCCTGTATATACCCTGTACACCTTGATTGGGACTTGCGGTGACCTTCTAATTAACTTTTGATCCTTTGGTGTTTACTGAACATGGTATACAGAAACTGTATAATTACTATGGAAATTTTATATTGATAATATAAGAATTAAATGTATCTTTAGTATTTGAAAGTATGATAATATAATATTCATTTTGAAAAAATTAACCTTTCACACGTAAAACTTTTTTTTTCAAATGAAATTTCGATTTTAATTTTAATATGTTAAATGGTAAACCTAAAGTGGAGATGTTATTGACAAAGTTCAGAGCAGCACTGTGTAAAGTAACTGAATTTAAAAATAATGTTTCCAATCATGGGTCACCTATATTTTCCTTTTTTATTCAGTTAAGAATTTACAATCAATCTTTTTTAGCATGTTTCATGGTGATGAAATCTTATTGAGGTTAGGATATAAAACCTAGATATTTTTTCTTAGTGAAATGTAGTTAACTCAACTCTCTTTTCATTTTATTAATAGATGGGATCCTGGGGAGGAATGAATTTTAAAAGTCTAATCTGGTTGTTACAGGAGTTTTTTTTTTTTTACATCAACACATACACTAACATCTAAAGCAATCTTTATTTTATAGTATGATAAAATAATAAATTTTCTAAATGGGTAGGGGTATTTTCAAAGAGTAAAAAATAAATCAAAATAAAATTGAAAAAAACTTTTTACTACTAATTTTAAAATTGTCTCAAAATCCCCAACACAGGTAAAGTTTGACATCTGGGTATTTCACTGTGTATTAAATCACTTCCTGTGTATAGGGATTAGGAGACAGATGGCCACAGGTAGACTGCTAGCCCCTAAGGCATTCACACCTGTACAAAATAAGCCCCTCCCTCACCTGGAATTTACCATCCGGTAAAAAATCTCTGCCTTTAAAAACTTACTTCTCTGATCAGCTGTTGCACCAGCAAAGAACTGGTAAAAAATATGAAAACATCTTTCATTTTCTGCCTGCCTTACAGCTCTTGACTTTTCTAGAAGATCTTAAGTGTGCTAAGGAAAAGTTTTGCTCATCTTTTTATCTTTTAACACTTATGGTTGATTGCTTGTGTTGCAATGTTGCAACCTTTCACTCCTCCTCATTATACAGGGTTGCAAATAACATTTAAACCTTAGGGGTCATGTGGGCCCCCAACTTCACAAATTTTACTAGCCCTCATTGATTTTATGGGGCCCACAATTTTTTTTTCACTTTGTAAACAAATTTTTCATATTAAAACATAAGAGAAAAATACTTTATGGCCATAGTATTTCATTATTTCTTTTCAAATTTTTCCTGCAGACTACACTACCAAATGTATGAAATTCCATGTTATCATTCAATTCAAATTTGCTTCTTCTGATTTCAGTTGTTTCAGGGCATGTATTTTGAATTAGGCTTAAAAAATATTTGATTCTTGTAACATTCCCAAATAACCAAAGGTCGGTATGTCGGTTTTTTTTTTTTTTTTTATATAAATGAAGGAGCCAAACATCCCTGGACTGAATTAACCAGGTGTTATATTTACAGTGGACACCCAACATGGCTGCATGCCTTAGTAGCGGCAGAAAAAGAACTTCAAAAAGTTGTTGGGGAATTCTTGTTACAATAATGATTACTCTTTAAATTTAAGGTAAACATTGACTAGGTTGACATAATTTGTATCTCAAATAAAGCTACAATTAATATTTGAAACATGGAATCAGCTGAATGATCAAACACAGAAAAATCCGCCTGGGATATGAAAACGAAAGTACATTGAATAGTTGAACCAAACTACGATCTGATTCTGGAAAAGGTCCGATAAAATTCTTACTCGCCATGTGGGCGATAATATTCTGAAGAGCTGGTCGCTCACAGGAAAATTTACTCGCATTTGCGAGTGGGCGAGTGGTTATTTGCAACCCTGTTATATTTACAATCAGTTAAAGGATACATGTCTCAATGTTGGCTCCTGATATGTATCCTGAGGAATCAAAGTTGATTCTTATGAATTTTCCCTGGAAAAAAAAACACAGTTCACTTAGTATTAATTGATTCTCAGTTACATAAGACTTTAAATATGCAGAAAGAATCATTCAGACCACTAAGTTTGAGTTTGTTCTTTAAGTACAATTCTTGTCTATAATTTTTAATCATTTAGTTGTTTTTAAGGCATTAAGCATCGTCTCAAAGCCACAGTTCGGAGTCAGGTTATAGCTTTCTCCTACCCGTGGCTGCTTGATCACATAAATTGTTGTAATCTTGGAATATCTAGGTCTGTATGCCTTGACTTCATGATCAGCTAAAGACAATATTTGTTTCCATCACAATTGAAATCAACAACTGACATAATCAGTTCACAAAAATATTTTGTAAACTACAATTGGGTATCGAAAGATCGCATCAAAGTTCATTTTCTGACTAAGCTTTACTCGTATTGGTCAATATTTTAATGAGGTACAAAATATTCTCTTCTTATTCGACCACGTCCAGAATGAGAGAGGATCGTACATTTTTGTCATAGTTTGCGAGGATGGGCATTAAGGGTCCCATAAATTTAATTCTTACTTGAAATGTACAATTTCATACATATTTAAACAATGAATTCATGTTTTTTTATGTCTTTGGTCCTATAACATACCTGGCTGTGTCGATAAATTGAATACCGCGTTAGCGCAGTATGATAATTTGTCAGCAGGGCCAAGTGTGTTATAGAACAGTTGATATCCAAAAATATGAATGCAATATTTACATTCTCTAATTTTCCCTTTTCATAATTGTTTATTTCATTACCAGTAATCTTTAAGGTGAATTTAGCGCCCTTTAAACTGACGTGCTTTTTAGATGTAAGAGCTGTTTTTGACGTTACTAAGTCAAAATAAGGCAAAAAAACATTGCGAAAAAGTGACTAATTAATTTTAAACACACATTTGTTGTATTTTTATGCTAAATTAACAGGGTTAAATTTTTTTTTATTAAATTGTTTCAAAACCTTGTACATTTTGGTGTTCCTAGGGTATTTAAAATGCATATAGTTCCTGCTGTGTATTCTAACACAAGGTGACAAGGTTTGGTGCGTGTTACAGAAATTTGAAGGCCGTGGATTTCTAATGGATTTCATAAAGAAAATTACACTGAATGTAAATATAACAACTTGACTTTTATTCCATTATGGAATCAAATCCTTAGTATGAACCGATATCTTTTCTTAAACCACAAAAAATATGACCCCTCAATAATAAGTGATTTTTCAGTCTCAATAAATGCAAACAAACTAGAAAACTGACCAGTCAGCAAGGGCCCCGCCATGGGGTAGAATTATAAGGGTGCAGCTTATGGAATGATTCAAAAATATATGACGAATAAGAAACAGCAACTGTATTCTTAAAATTTCAAGATAATTCCTGAATATCTAAAAACCTGTAAATAATATCCTTGTATTTACATAATGCAGTAACGAACAACTCAACACTGAATGTATATCTAAACAATAATGAAGCTTGTGTTATATAAAATGCCAGCCTTCAATGAATGCAAATACATATATTCATGAAGGCTTGACCTTAACTTCAAAACAAACAGCAGTTGCAAAAAAAGGTTTTCATTAATCTTAAAGTGACAGATAAAGATAAGCCTTCTAAATTTTCTGCAGCAGACTAGATAATTAATCCCAAGCGATTAATTGTACTTCTCTCTCATCATTTTCTTCTTAATTTATAATAAGAACTTTTTCAGTAACGACAGAATGAGGTTTTTATCCTACTACCTTAAAAATTAATAATAATATTCTTGAATTTTCATGAAGCCAAAAAAAAAAAAAATTAATAAATAAAAATAAAAAATATACACATCTTCTATAATCTATTTCTTGTTTTTAGAATTCAATGAAATCAGAACTCATTTTTGATTTCAACAAAAATAAAGTAAAAACATTTATACTCCAATCCACATTTCAGAGTGTCCATAGCATTCCAAATGGACTTAACTTCAAAACAAACTTCATTTGCAGACAGAGGTGGTAATTAATCTCAATGTGACAGATAAAGATAATGCTTTGGATTTTCTTCAGGAGGAAAGCTAATTAATCCTAAGGGACTCATTCATTGCAGTATTCAGTTTACAATGGGAACATTTTCAGAAGTTATCTCTCTTTGCCAATTCATTCTTATATTAAGTTATGGAATCTACCCCACCACCCCAGCTCCAAACCAGAGGACATAGAGAAACAAACTTAGCATCAAAATATGTCTTTTTGCCTACTGATCTACCATACCAAATTTGAACTTAATTGGGCAACCATAAAAAAAGTTATTAGGAAAAAACAGAAAATTTGTGGACGGAAGAAGGACAGACAGAGTGATTACTATAGGGCACCCGCAAATCCTTGCGGGGCCCTAATTATTTTTCATAACATTTCAGCATCCTATACCTGTGCTGAAACATGGGAATTTGACCATATGTATCAGGCCTCTAAGATTTGCGATTTACTAAAAATTCAATTGAAGAAAATGAATTTCCTCATAGTTTTTTTTTTACTTTAAATAACTTTCATGTATCTGATTCTGTAATCATTGCCAATACTTTATCAAAATTCTTCTTTAACCCCCATCACTATAAATGAGTACTTTTATGTTGTTATTTTTCTCCACGTTACTTACAAATCTGGAAGAGTTGTCATTCTTGATAGTCTTGGCATTTCCAAAGGCTTCCAGAATAGGATTGGCTTGCAGCAACTGATTCTCCAGCTCCCCCTGCAAAATTTAAAAAGAAGTGAACTTTGTTCAGCCTAGTTAGCAAAGACAAAATTACTGATACACAATATATTACCACATCTTTTGTTTACATTTCAGTTTTAAGATATACAATTCAAAAACAATCCAATGGAAACAGCATTAGGAAAAGCAGAAATGTGTATTACATGAACACACAGTACCAATACATATTGTAATACTTGCCCTTCTCTATGGACCAATTACAAACAAGCAGCTTTTACTACACATGAGAGTGATGAATGAGCATTATCCCTATACCATATCTACAATATTCATGCAGCCTAACCTTTTGTCTATAAAAACTAATCAGAAACCAGAACATCATAATATCTAGCTATCCATTGTCACTGACCATGATGTGACTACAGTATGTGGGATTCTGATGAACATGATTTGTCAACATATACCCAGCAGAGTGATGCTACCATTATATTTTGGGTCCTGGGTACCAATTTTCCTGTTTCCTCTGAGCAATACACTAGATTATAACTATTCTCATGATTCTCCAAAATGGTCATCCACCAGACAATTATTTTTTTCATGACCACATGAACACTTTTTTGCTTAAAATAATGAGCTTCACTATAAAAGATTGCATTTACATTGCAGCACATCATGTGCTACTTATATAATTTAGCAAATCACAATATGCATGAAAATAATGAAACAATTATTAGCACATACCATACTGTGAAGGCCATGCTAATTTACAAGACAGCATGCAAAATGAATTTCAATTTTAAATTCACACAAAAAATCTTTGAATTAGACATAATCAGTTCTGTTACATTGAAAACACTGTGTGTGCATCATGCAACCACCACAAATAACCCAAACACTTTTCTCTTGTTCATTACAAATCCATAGCATGAGATGTTCGTATAAAGGTCTGGATTTTACATGGTTACACAGAATGAAGCTAGTGATTGTAAGACTGACTCTAGAGCAGTAGAAATGATTTGAGCTCTTGGTACTTACAAGATTGATGTCTTTGCTCTATGAAGGAAGTCCACAGAGAAAATAGACAAATTAATTAGTTATCATCATCATAGAAATATATACATGCTGGGTCAGATACAGTTATCATGCATGACATAAAAGTTTTGCATACAGAACTCTTAATGTTGTACATGTACAAACTTGTGAAAAGGGGACAAAAGAAAATATTGACTATACTATATTTATATATGTATATAATATAGTTACTATAGAGAAATATATAAAATATAGATGTAGAATATTTAAGTTTTAAATATTATTTTTTAATTACCTGTTGAACAATATGAGTCTGTAAATTTAAGTTGTGTACAAAACATGAAGTAACAAACAAGCAAATACACAAAAAATAAACACTTCTACCTTTAAAAGCTTATCTACATATTTTTTCATGCAAATTAAAATGCCTATCTCAAATTACCTGTTAAAAAATATATTTTCCTTGCATTTTATTGAAATTTAATGTGATCAACTAGACTCCCAATTCCTTCCATTACAAAATGTTTTCTTATTTTGAAAATATGTTAATTTTTTTTGTACCTGGCCAGATCAGTTAAAAAAAATTTACAATTCATTCTTATATAAATTCTCTCCAACTATATGAGATATAGAAAGTTTCCATCTGAGAAAGAACAGATGGCAAGAATTTGATAATTAAACCCTGACTGAAAGGCTTCTCGACTTCTAATCACTGATAAAATAACAATTGTTCTATCCTTCATTAGGAAGACTAAATGACAACTGGGATCAATATCTATGCCTGGCCCTTTAAAGCCAGTTTTCTCTTCTCCCTGAATCCTTTCTTAGAGCCACTGGTTGTCAAGTAGCAAAGATAAAATTGTAAATCTAAGCTACAGCTGTTTATGCTGATGTAAAACTTTCACCTGATCATCAGCTAGGTAACCACTCTAATAATATCATGGCACACCTGTTATTCATGTTATTTGGTAAAGGACATTCGATTGAAGTAATTTATCAAAATGTCAAAATCACTTTTTAAGAATAAACAGAAATTACTGTTAGGCTATAATACCAACTTTCAGCAATGTTAATTGAAAAAGCAATCAAAGACTAGCAATACTTATAATTATACATGTACTTTTAAAACTACTTAGTGGTGCACTGCTATCTTTTGCACAGTGAAGATCCCTAATACTAAATCATGCTCACATACTGAGGTACATTATGAAGCAAATGCAATCTACACACTACTGCCTGATTTATCAAAATATGCTTCTTAATTACAGTAAAGGTAGTGCTTATATTTTTGGCAGTGATAAACTTTAAATAAAAGCCCTGAAATATCTCCCACAACACAAGCATTCCACTTCCTGTCTGAAATCTACAGATAGGCCTTATATCTTTCTCAGACCTTAATCTTACCGTTACATGCAGGTTGGACACGGATGAGCGATTGGTTCGGGAAGAGGCAGCAACATATGCCAAGTACTGGATCACTTTTTTGGTGTTTTCTGTTTTTCCTGCACCTGATTCTCCACTGAAATGTTAATATTATCTTTAGTCATTGGAGATGGATTTAGTTATCATTAAGTTTTTGTGCAAGTTTGAACAAAAATTTCAGAGGTCTTAAAAAGCTGCACTTTTCCCTGCTTAAAACTTTCAACCTTATTTACACCTTTTATGACAAATCTCTTGAATATATCTTGAACTCTTCCTATTATTATGGTTATTTATATTTTGAAAATCTGCCTTTACAATCTACACACAGTTAGGCCTTAAACTGCAAGAAAAAAATACATGTCAATGCCAAATCTAAACTTAAATGTTTTGAAATTTTTGTTTTTTTTCATAAAATTTCAAGGTTAACAGAATGTATCTTTCTCACTGATAAGTCTGACATTATAAAGGGTTTACTTTAACAAACAAAGCAAACATTTGTACATATAAGGGAAATTGCATTGACCATAAAAGTTCTACTGAGTCAAAGTACAGATTACGAAGACCTATATTCCAACCATTACAGTAAGTGTCCACTATCCTATATATTTTAATCTATGATGCCTGTTCTTCTCTAGTAAGTATTGTGTTTGATAAACTCTCCATAGCCACTGCTAAATAACTAAAGGTCAGCACACTAATATAATATCTACAGTGGATAATAAAGCTCTCACAGCTAGATGACACTTAATTATATCTTATTTAGGTCATAGGAATATCGGCAGTTTATAGCCATATACCTTTGTCCACCTGTATTTTCTGTTCTCTCTCATAAACAAGAGTACTCTCTACAGTAAACTGTATCTCTACTGTCATTTTCATAAGAGGTTCTTAATAGCTCATCTCTAAAATTATTCTGCCAAGTTTTATAACTCATCATGTAAGGACTGAATATGATACAACATTACTTGATACTTTACAATACTTCCCTATCTAAGAACATCACATCTATAAACATATCTGATCCATTTACTTTTCTTTTCATACTTCCCTTTACCCTAGGTATTAAATACATTAAGCTTACTTTCATTTTATCTTTTGCAAATTAGAGCACATGATACAAAGAACACTTGCATATTTGGCATCCTTTTAACAATATTTCTAAGAATGAAACAGGCTTGAGCAATAAAGAACTTATGAACAATTTCACAAAATAAGATCAATAATGACCAAACTTCACAGAGATCACTCACAAATCCAACGTCATAGATAAGAAGGCTCGGTTGAATATAATAACAATTGTGTCTAATCATCAGAAGGGGAGGGGGTATTAGCAGCTCAGAAATTAGAGTGTTTACAGCCATGAATTGTCTGAAGGATGAATTCAGGTATATAGGCTTACACTGACTGAAGGATGACTCCAGGTTATGCCTCCTGCTTATAATTCATACAGAAGTGATATTGTTAATTGTAGAAACTTACGTGCAGAGAATAGACTGGTCCTCTCGATCTACAAAATCAAATAATAATAATTTAAATAAAATTCTGCAGCCTTATAATTCAAAAGTATACATGTAACTGATGTTGGTATGAGAAATTTGTGATAAAGAAGTTATCTTGATATGTTTATATGTACAAGGTTTTCTGAAAAGACTCAAAAACTTGCTTTCCTTCCAAAGTAATTACTCTATAGCTACTGAGGATACAGGTACTCAAACATGACAAGTGGGGTGATGACTTACATCTTAAACACTCTAAAAATGCCAAAACAAGGCTGTTCTATTGAAAAGTATATCACAGAGGTCATATAAAATTCAAATTATTTCAAGTTAATTAAACAATTATCATCAGTTGTCTCATTATTCAAGTCCTGATATCTTAATCATTTTTTTACTGTATGACAGTAGCAAACTGTGTCACACTGGGGAATATATATAATGGATTTAATTAAGGTAAGTCAGAAGCTGTAGTACAGAAATACAAATCAAGAAATAATGGACATTTAAATGTGTCAGACAGCAATGCACTGTCTCACAGATCAAATATTTAAACCAACAACCCACCAGCTTTTAAAATCTGTTTCTCTGCATAACCAATAATGTGATAAACCTGGGTTGTCCTTCTGACCTGGAGGACTGCATTTCATTTCCGGAATTTTTTGTAATTATCATTTTTTCATTTTCAACATTTTTTAATTTTTATTTCCGACATTTTTTGGTTTTCATTTCCAACATTTTTCATAGTACCTTGAGTAACAGATTTGAAGACTTAACCGATGAAAAATATAAAGGAATAAATCCTAAATAAATCATTGAAATCCAATTTCTGAGTTTTGTAAATCTATAAATGAAGTGACTGTGAAATTTTCACTGGGGCACATATATACGTGTTGTGAACTGGAAAAAGATGGTTTGGTGATAACTAAGGAAGGTGACCAGCACACTGAACTCTTTTAGCTAGACTTAGTGCTGCATGTATGCATATTTGTATAATAGATGGGTTTTTATATTTTTTATCAGTATTCTGCAATAAATACTTTCAAAATTCCATTTTCTTTTACTTGGAAAACATTAAATTGCTGCACATGTAAATTCTGGAAATGAAAAAGAAATTATGTCAGAAATGAAAAAAGAAAATGTCGGAAATGAAATAAAAAAAATGTCGGAAATGCTATGCAGATTTCTGAAAATGATTGGCAGCGACCTGGAGGCAGGGAATTTCCCCACCTTAGATGTAATCCCCATTATTCTGGTATTACCTAACAACACCCTTCAAGGGGAGGAAACCTATATTCCCTTCTACTTTTTTAATGCCCCCTACTAGCTCAATTCTTAGAACAACCCTGGATAAAAACAAGTATACTGTAATACAAGTATTGACACCAAAAAGCAGATCTTATTCAAAGGTCTTAGAAATCCCAGTCAATGATATGGTCAATCCTTAGCACTAATGTATTGCCTGGACCATGAATTTTATTCAATGAATGTTTAGTTTGAACCATGCATGACGGTTGACCAGACAATTTACTGACAGAGCAAGTACAGGCTAAAACAAGCCTGCAGTGTTTGCACAAATATTTAAAACTAGTATCTTTGCCATCTCCTCAGAAGGTCAAATTGTACATTTAAATTCCTGTCAAAAGAAATACTTTCAATGGAGAACTGCCTCAGGCTGTCTAGTCAATTGAAAAAAAATCAAACCATACATCATGCAGGCATGTATACAATCTCATAGCAGTTGCAGAAACAGGTACAGTGCTGTTGACATATTGGAAACCTCTGATTTATTTACTTTCAGACTGAAATATATCCAACATCTATATGTATTCATAACTTTTTATATCCTGCTCATGATCATGTTGCCAGAAAATCTATGGCATTTTAGGATATGAGGGTGGATTTTCAACAAACACTGGGATATATATTTTGATTTTCAATACTTTATGGTGATTTTGGTCCATTTTTTGGTTTACCTTGCAGCATACTCCTGTAAGCTGTGTCAGTAATTGCAAATACATGTGGTGGGACTTCATGTCTTTTCTTTCCTTTATAAAGTTCTACAACTTTGTCTGTATAGATTGGGAGTCTCTTGTAAGGGTTCACCACCACACAGAATAGTCCAGAGTAAGTCTGAAATTAAGATTCATTACATGTTATTCAAAGCATGTAAAAATAAAAACTTGTTAATATCTAGCATGTCCCTCAGATTTTTATTAAGCTTTAAGATCTTTGCTAGTGCAGCAGAATATATGTATTAAGTGTTCAACATTCAATAAACATGTACATTTAACAACCATTGCCAAGTTTTGATTATTTATGACTGGTGAGAAAGTTCAATGACAGTTAACTCTACTTCATAGAGTTGTGGTCCATGTTACAACCTACACATGTGAATTATATCCAAGCGTGAACATCACTATCAACCTTCAATGCTTTACTACCTTTACATGATTAGCACTTTTGTTTTATATAAAATTTTATTTTCAGACAAATTTATTTCCCTTGGTTTGCAAGAGAAACAACATCTAAAACCCAAAAAACCTGCAGCAGTCAATTTATTAACCTGCATTCTTCCTTTTAAATTTAAATTATTCAGTGTTTATACGTAATCTAAGGAATCTCAGGAATGCCCCAATTGAAAGAGATTACATGCCGACAGTGAAATGGTTGAGTGATTACCCAAGCACTCTTTAGTCTACTGCCTGTCACGATGAAGCAAAGATTTAAAGCAGTTCGGACAATGGCCCTACAATGTCTTAAATTTTAGATAAACAAAAGAGGTTCTGTACAGTGCAGCAAGAATTAGACAATTGATGCCTTCAGTACACATTAAGGATGAGTAGCTCTCTACTGACAGAACCATGTCACCAATTTACCCAATACACAAGTAAGCAATAACCTGTGTATGAAACTATGAACCATGCAATCTAAACATGTCATTTGTTTGTAAAACTTAAAGTGACCATTCTAATATTCGAATAAACTGTCTGCTGTTTGCTCTGATTGAGTGAACAATAAATGTAAACAAAATGCATATATATTTTGGGATTGAAGACTGCAAATTAAGAATGTTTGACTACAAACATGCTATTTCATGTAAATAGACTATGATACTACCTCATCACATAACTGTTGCAGTTAATATAAATTAAAAGCAATCTTTAAGGGGGTGCTGCTAATTTTATGGCTTCAGGTAGTTTTGAGGTCAATTATTGTACATACTAATAGAAGTAGTCTGGAAGTACAAAAGATATGGTTGCGATTTCAAAAGAAATTAAGATATTTTACTTAGAATGTGGAATCTTCTGTTTCCATGTCAAATCCACAACATAGACACTCCTTAAAACTTCCTCTCATTTTGTGTTATCCAATGCAAACAAAAGGTATGAGTAATACCTTCATTTTTCGATTTTAAGGAAGTATGACAAGAGGAAAATATAATGTTGACAGGTACATATGGTACAACCTAAAATCAATATCCGTTCATCTTGACTTAACAAGTGAATTATAAATGCATCTAAATACACAACATTGTAAATGTTACCTATGTGTGTATGTTCATGCATCTTCCTTCACGCAATCGCGAATCCGTGATTGCTACCTCCAGGGTAACAATGTAAGGAGACATGACAGTACTCACTTATAATTAAAACCTGTCATTTGATTATTTTTGCTTACTTAAAAACATCTCCTTTATGATATACAGCACCTTTCATAACAAAAATATAAATGCATTGTCATATGTGGGGGTGTACATCAGCTGGGAGGATAATTTTACTTACATATATTAAACCAGAAAAATATCGATCTTTCAAATTGTGTAGAACAGATGCTTCGTTAAGACAAGTTAGTTCTGCCATGTCCTCCACTTTATTGAATTTAGGAGGATTCATTTTTTGGCAATCGTCTCTGTGAACCCTCACACGTTTCCCAGTTTCTTCCACCACCACTTCTACCTCATCCCCATGGTCGCTTACAATGCTGGCAGCACAAAAGCCATGTACTTCGTGGGGTATCCATATGAGTTTTTTGGAAGCCCATTCTGCTTGTACCATGGGATCATTGATTTTGTTTCTGTCCACGGCCAAATATTGCAACTCTTGTGCGCTCACACCTGCATACGGATCGTCCGCCATTTTGAAGAAAATATACGGTATATTCGTAACTTCCTTTAGTTGTTTGAATCCTGTTAATAAGTAAAGTTATCCAAAATGTCGTTCACTAAATGTAAGACGAAGCCGAAAAGTTTCAACAATTATTTCCAAGAAACTTCAAGACCTCTGCTGATTCATTAAATTCGTCACCGAGCCCCCGCCCGCTCGAAAACAGGCATTACCAGAGGTCACGTGACGAAGCTGGGTTCGGTGAAGGAAATATCTGTCATTCCGGAAATAACATACTGTTTGGTAATGTGACCAGAAAGGTGACAGATACGGCATTTTTTATTTTAATTTTTGGTTTTCCATTTATGGTAAATAAGTTATGGCGGGAAATACTACAGTTGAAGACTACACAACTTTATATATATCATCGTCTTACTACCCGTCATAAAAATGATGGCCTTTATAAGTTCATTATTATCAAATATTTTCCACAGACGAAGCAAAAAAAGTTACAAATGTAATAAAATGAAATATATATATTTTTTTAAATCAAGAGGCCAGTGTGTTACAACACTCACCAAAGTCAATAGGGCTCTGTTGTACATCATCAGATTTTCCCATTACATGTAACTTCTTACGTCAAAAAAAAGACCCCCCTTGTTCCCTCACGGGGGGGGGGCAAATTTGAGCAAATTTGAATATACACTAGGTCTTTCTAAGGATGCTTCCAAAATAAAATTTAAGGAGAACAAATCCGGACTTTTCTTGTTTTTGTACATATTTTCCTACATATATTAATTTCTATCAAATATACTGTTACAGGTCTCTATAATTTCGACCACCCCTTACCCCGCGCCCTATAGGTCATGATTTGAAAAAAGGTAAAGTTACATTACCTGAGAATGATTCCATACAACAAGACTAATATGATGGCTTTGCTGTTCTTTGACAGAAGATTTTCTCCGATATCTATACCTGTTTAAAACTTTGATGCCCACTCTGGCCCCACCCTACCCTCGGGGGTGATTATTTAAAAAAATAATGTACACTCTTCCATATCAATATGAATAATCATGGCTTTGCTGTTCTTAAAATAAGACGATTTTTACATATTTCTTCCAATATCACTGTATACTTTCCACATAAAATGTTGATCCCCCACTCTGGCCACAAATAACCCCCCCCCCCCTTACCCCGGAATCATCATGATTTTAACAAAAAACCTGACGATGCTTCAATGTCGATATGACTTAACATCGCTTTAATGTTTTTGAGAAGATGATTATTTAAGATTTTTTCTATGTAAAAGAGGCCCCACCCTTACATTGGGGATCATGAATTGAACAACCTTGATCCTACACTGTACCTGAGGGTTCTTCTTTTAAAATTTATCATTATGACTAATCATGGCTTTTCTGTTCTTGTGAAGATTTTTAAAGATTTTTTTCCTGTATAATTTTTTATCCTCTGTTGTGGCATACCCTTCCCTGGGGGATCACTACACAACTTGAGGATATTTAAGGAATCACTGTCTAGTCAGTAAAGTATGTCAGGGCATCAACGATAGTTGGAAACATGGGATAATTTGCATAACGGGCGAAATAAAAATATAAAATTAGATTTTAAAAATGTAGACAATAGATTTAAATTGTACTAGGCCTCCCATGTCAATTTCTATATCCCCCTCCCACTGACGTCAAACACACGAGATTTACATGCATATTAGGCCTCATTAGCGTTGACCAGCCACAATGACAGACGCGTTTACTTAAGTTTTTGAGTTTTATTGGGATGTAAAACGGGTTGGTCACGTGATCAAATGCCATAAAGCCCGAAGGGCTTTATGGAAGATTTGATCATGTGCCAACCCATTTTTCATCCCAATAAAACTCAAAAAATGATACCTTATTACTTATATTTACATTTGTGACTTATTCATTCTTTAAATTTGCCTGGTTGTGACTTTTAACGTGTGAAATGCATTATTTTTCAAACCCAACGGCATGTATGTAATCCACTGAACGCACTTCGACCCTTTGTGACGTCACTGAGAAATTACGTCGAACGTTTATCCATACGAACATCTATGACCTCTTGACCCCGTACCTGTATTTATACAGTTATAAAAACGCTTGCTTTCAGTAGAAAAACATTTGCAAATGTAAATATATGCATATTATACCTTTTTAGCTCCTAACCTATTTACATTCCAATAGAATGATCAAGATATCAACTCGACTAACTGTCAAAGATTTATCACAGAGAATTAATCAAACAGAAATGAAAATATTTCTTTATTAATATGAAATACTAATCACAGCACTGTTAAAGGGACATTTTTTTCTAAAAAGACATCTCCCTATATACTAGTATTCCTTTGTAAAACTTTAATCTCCCATTGTTGGCTCACCTTAACCCCAGGGTCATGATTTGAAGACATTTGAATTTACACTAGGCACTATGAAGCTTTCATTCGATTTTCATTTCTTTTTTATTTTTTGGCTAAGTTTGTTTTGAGAAAATTTATGAAAAATGTTACCAAGCTTATTGACCTCTCAGCTCAGGTGAGCTAAAACGTAAATTACGGCGTCATTACGACAGATTTTATGTGCTATGCTGTAAATATCGCCACAACGCTCATCCGAGTCAATATGACCCTCCTGTTCTTCATCAACAGCCCCCTTTCTGCTATCGTCAACGATGTGAAAGGGGGGATAATTAGACTGCCACATTAATATGACTATACTAGTTCTGCTGTTCATAAGAATTTGTTTACAATAAATTTGTCTCCTTTATAACCTATGTTGAATTTTGATCCTTGAGTTGTGGCTCAACCCTACCCCCGGGGGTCATGATTTGAATTTTCACTACTGTATATGCAATGAAGATATCCCACAATTTTTTTTGGCCAAGTGGCTCTTCAGAAGATTTTTTAAAGATACCACAAATAGTTCTTCTTTTTACTGTCTCCCCTTTAAAAGAGTTCATTTGTTCAAACTTGAATTCCCTTTATCCAAGGATGGCTGCTTTTAGGCAAGTTTGATTGAAACTGGTTCAGTGAATATTGAGAAAAAAAATGTAGATAAATGGACTACAGACAAAATTTCATTCAAACAAGAAGTGTTTTTGAAACACGATGCACCCATGGCACCTGGCGACAAAAAGGTTCTTTTAAAAAGTTACTTTAGCATATAGGTCACAGTCAAGGTCACAAGACCATCAGTGTCATTTAAAAGAACTTAATTAATGGAGTATGCATACTAAATATGAAGTCTCTATCTCCAATTGTTCAAAAGATTTGGCAAAGGTACGAAAAAGCTATTTTTAGCATATACGTCAAGGTCACAAGGTCGTTAACCTTGGTATCAGTGGTAAGAGCTTAATTAGTGGAGTAAGCATACTAAATATGAACCCTCTATCTCTCATGGTTCAAAATTAAGTTATGGCGAAGGTTAAAGCTGACAACAGGCAGGCAGGCAGACAGACAGTGAGACAGACGGACAATCAGATAGACAGGACAAAACCAATAAAGCCCCCGATCTATCGATCCGGGTGCATAATAAAGTTAAATTGCAATTATGATTATTTTATAAAATGTTCGAAACTGAGACAATGAACTTTTCTTTAACCGTTAGAGAGGCTGGTGAAGACATTATTTTTTGTTAGACAAAGTAGTGTTGAGAGAAAAAAAAAGTATCAGACACATGAATGGGTGTGTACTACTTGTGTGAAATAGGGCAAAACTAATAACCCGTGACATACTTTTGCTATTAAAATAAATGGTTATGTATCGAACATTTATTCATTTTTTTTTATTTCACCTGCTTATTCTCTATATCGAATATATTTTATTTTTGCATTCATTATTGAGCCTCGCCAGCCTGGTGCAGTGGTTAGACCCTTTGCGCTAGAGTCTCGGAGAAGTGAGCTGATGGTTCGAAATCACTGCAGGACATGGAGACCTTTCCTACGGATGGGATCGTATAAACCTAGGCCCCGTGTCGCAATAGATGTTGGAACTAAAGAATCCCTTCACTGCTCAACAGCCCTAGGTGCCGAGCGTAGGATAAAATTGGCTGGAGTTGCGTCTCCATATGACTTTATTGGGCATGTGAGATATTGGAAGCACCCCCTCTTAAAAGAAAGGCTTCTAATCTCTTCTCTGAGAATAAAATCTTTGTTTAAATTTTAAATGTGTAAAAGTTTTGGATCTTTTCCTCCTTATTGCTGACATTTTTGCCTCTCTCACAGGTAATATAAAGATAAGCGTTTTAATGCGCTTCCATTGAGAAAATCCACAGATGACTGTTTGGACAAGCACAGGAGTACTATAAAACCATTCTAGACTGCGACGTCACAGTAGTCGGTTCCCAAGTATAAAAAATCAGCTCCGGATGGAGACGGCGAAATTCCCAGTTTATTGTAATGGCGCCGGTTCTGACGTTTTCCTAGCACGTAAAGTATCAAAATCGTTAAAAAGCCAGGAAAGCTTAAGATATTTCGGAGTATGTTTTCTAAAGTGTTCAATAAATTGGCAAAATCATTACATGTACATCTGTTACTACTTTTTGCAGACTACTGTTCTCTGCTGAAATACTCAATCCTGAAAGAAATTATTCCTTCCGATTTTAAAATAAATAAAATACAAACCAACAAATAATATAGGCAAGAAGAAAAACAATGTATTTAGAAAACACGATGAATGTGCCCCCCCCCCCCCAGATCCCCCCAGAAAAACGTTTTTTGTCAAATTAGTTATAAATACATAACGTACTGAAAAGAAAAGACAATTTTATGCATGCATACAATTCGTTTTATTTCTTTATTCCTTTAAATCCGATACATATGTGATTGCCTAGTGCTGTTTTAATACTTTATAAAATCCTGGTTAAGATGTCCCTTCCCTACCTCAAAAAGGAAGAGTGTACAGTCACCAGGCAGTACGTACGACAGGGAAATATAGTGACTTTGTTGGAACATTGTAATCTTTCCAGACTATATGTAAAACTAATTCATATTGTAGGAATACTAGTATTTATACATTTATCAATGACTAAAACTTACGTAAATTAAGTCTGAGTAGTATCGGTCCTTGATATTGTGCAGAACGGATGCATCATTCAGACAAACAAGTTCGGCCATATCCTCCACTTTTGTATATTTAGGAGGATTCATTTTTTGAATCTCTTCTTTGAGAACTTTAATTCTTTTACAAGTTTCCTCTATTTCCACCTCGGTTTCGTCACCGGCTTCACTGAC